TCCGCACATGTTCCCCCCCCCCAGCACTGAAATATTTGAGAGTGAGTCTAGTGCAAAACAAACCATTGCACTAATGATCATGGATAAATAAAAACCTTTTTTCAGATTAATTACCTTTCTCATTCAAACACCTAAACCTTTATAACAGTCTGTATTTCATTAAGAAAATGCTCACATTTACATTTTTGCTCAGAAATGATTAGCAAAAAAAATCTGCATTTTATAAGGCAAATAAAAACATTGAGTCCTTCTCAAAGACTGTCAAAAGTGAATAGATCAACGCTTGCACAACATTTTATCTAACTTCATAAAACACACCTCAGTAGTTGTTTATTTGACCAACTACCAACATGTGTTGGAATAATCGTCTATAACTTGATACTTGTATCAACTGATCAACACATTACGGCTTTAATGTACTTTGTTGATCGTATCAAATGTTGATTAATCCCATCACAAGCCGAGAACTCCCATTGTGCTTTTGCGACATTCTTTTATCATTTTGCATTTTTAAAAAGCAGCCACAAAGATCTTTAATGGGTCGAGGAAATGGGAGAACATAAAACCTTATTTGTTGATTTTGATCTTTATCATTTAAAGGTGTGTTTTGTGTTTTAGTCCCTTAAAGAAATAAAATCAGTTTTATTTTAGTCCTTTACAAATGATAATCTACTTTCTTCCAACAATTTTTGCTATTTCTAACTTATTTAATTGACTATTGACTTTTTCCATGCCACTGGCTACAAAACAGACCTCATGCATAATGGATCCGCCCCACGCTTTATCATTTTATGATTTTGCACACTATTAAATATTTTGTATTTGAAACACCTATGCAAAGATTTCTTTTGACCGAGTTATTCAGACCTTTGCACAGTCCAAACTCCTGCCCATTTGAGAAACCTACAACAGTTTTGTGGTAGGTAAACATTTACATAGTGCTCATTTTCTTGTTTCTCTTTGGAAATGTTCTAACATACTAAAAGATTATGTTTTAGAAATAGGTAATGAAAAAGAGTATGAAACACCTCAGGGTTAAGAGAGTCCAACCAGGTCGATAAGTTGTCAAGGTTAGATGAAGGACTGAACAAGAGGGAACGGATGAGTGGCAGACGGAAGTAAAGACCAGCCTGACTTGTAATTACAAAGGAGAGGTGAGGCTGTTAAAGAGGAAAAGAATCAGCAACATGGAGACAAAGAAACTGACTTCTGGAGAGAAAAAGTAAACACTTATACATTTTGTTCAACCCAAGTAAGTTGAGTCATATTTTAAACCCAAACAGAGGATTCATTCCTTCAAGGACATCAGCTACTATAAAAAACAAAATATACATATCAAAGCATTAGGATGTTCAGCAGGCATCCAAGTTACAGCCACTTCAATGTTCTCATTTAGTTTACTGCTCTTTCCAGAGCAGAAATATACCTCACAGTCAATCATAAAAACCATGAACACGTTGCTGTCTAATACTTTTAAGAAAACCTTCCAGTTGAATTCTAATTGCTGTGTGCATGTGTGTGTTTGTATATTTGTACAAAGCCTGGATAGACGCACACACAGCTGGGATCTCTTGGCTTTGTTCTGGGTTTGCAAAGATTTTTTTTTTTGTCTGTGTGGGTGTTTCCAACTGTGACAAGCTGCTTGGATCCATTTGGCACTTTGCAAACTACGGCGTGTCCCTTAGGAATGGAGCTGCCTTGAAAAGCAGCTTAGCACCAGCGTTCACCTAAAGGCACTGCTGCTGATTAATAGTGTGCTGAAGGCCAGAGAAACAAAGACGGACTCATGGGGTTGGGAAGAAGGATTTATTCCCTTTTCACATTTCTGCACCGTGGAGGATGCTCTATATGTGGATGAATGTGATCAAATATACCAGCATCAGTTTACTTTTAACTACTTTGTTGTAATCATCACCGTTAGGCATAAAGATCATTAGTATAAAAATGTAAGTAAATGTTAGGAGAGAATAATTGGAAACATGTTTTTTATTATATTTTTATTTTTTATATTATCCTGGTGCCTTTTTGACACTAATTCAGAAGAAGCAACCCAACAACATATTTATGGGTTTGAACCAACAACATTAGCTGACAATTGGTGTATATCTGTAGATTACAGTGCTCATGTAACATTCGCCTAAAGACAATCATACTTTTACATGTTGTAGAAGGGACTTGTGGACTTGACTGTATATTCACATAACGCTATTCACTAATAAGAATGCAGAATCAGCAAAAAAAAAATCATTCTCTATTAATATTGTCATTACCACCGAATAAAATAAAACTATAGACTAAGTTAAAGCACAGCGGTTTTTCTGATAAAATGTTATTTCGCCAGCAAGATGCCCCCGTTCACCCGGTGCAGCCAGAAAGACACCTTCTTGTATCTGCTGCCTTTTACCTTAAAAGATCGGCTCGGGTGCAAGATCGGCTCGGGGTCCTTCGACTGCCGATGACGTCAAAGTAGTTGATTGGCTGAACATGAACCTTACGGAATTACGTAATCACGTTACGTTGTTATCACGTTATGTTGGCCCAGGCAAATCTTTCTGTTGGAAAGATGGACAACTTTTACAAAGAAATCCATCATTACCTCTTTGAAAATACACTTTTAGCATAGAGCTGCATGTATATTAGGGCTGAACGATTAATTGCATGTGCTATTAAATTGCGATGTGACAAAAGGAGATTTTCTAATCTCAAAGACTGCAATTTGGCAGCGAGTGGTTAGCGCAATGCTAATATACATGGAAAAACCCATAGGAATGCTAATGCTAATATCACCGATTACATTCTTACAAATTATGAATTAGAAACGTGCCAAATGATTACATTTGGAGTCTAATAGAAAGTAAAACTACCATCAATCAAATAAGTACAGACAGGTATTTTAGTAAAGCCAGAAAACTTTTAACTCCAAGAGTTTTGGCTAGCAGCTATGAGCGTAACTGAACTTACGCATGGACAAGACGTCAAAAACTAAACACAAAATACTTCAATAAACGGGACACACTTCTTTCCTGCAAATACAATTTCACAGGTGTTGCTAATACCTATGATCCTTCAAGGGATGTGCCCAAAGAGGAGTTCAACATTATGAATAAAATATAGTGTTTTATTTTACAAATACCATTATAAACACAAACTTACGTCTTAAGAAACATTATTTTAATAACGAAACTGCTAAATTCTTTCCAACAGTATAGATGTGTAGTGTATTTTGTCTGAGTGGGTTTGCCTTACTTTGACGTCATCGGCAGTCGAAGGACCCCGAGCCGATCTTGTACCGACACCAGCCTTGGATTTTGGAGTTCTGCTTCTATTTTCCAGCTGCTGACAGGCAGCTGCCGTGTCTGTCGTGGCAACTGTGGGAACTTTTAGACACCCTTGTAACAGCTTGTCTTGTTTTTGGGAGATTTAGCACTCCAACTTTGGAGGTCTGCTAATGTCCTGGAAGGATGATTGACTCAGACTTATTTCAACCATTATGTGTAGATGTTGGCCATGTTGGTTTTCTGCTGTCTTGGCCTAGATGAGTGACGTCCCCACCTTTCATAATAAACAAATAAAACAACATAAAGACATTTTAGGGCTTTTGTTTTCTAGAAAAAAACTATTCCTAAAAAAACAAACAAGAATTTCAAACCTTGCCAACTGTACAATCAAACTGAAATTACCCTGATTTACCATACCTGACATACGTAGCTATTTCTTCACACAAAAAAGATTTGATTGGGATGACATTTGAAGAAAATGGCAGACACAGAAACAGCCGTAAACTATTCCAGATGTGATGATCACATCCAAGGAGACTGGTACACAACCATATATTCACCCTGTAGGGGTTTTCGATGACATCAGCTTTTGTGCAGATCTAGAGCTGGATCCAGTTAGATCTTAGCTTCATAGTAAAGTAATTTTGATGCATTTGTGTAAAAGCAGATATTAGTAGTACTTCTAGCTGGTGGTCGTGCCCTGCGATTAGTACACAGAAGTATAGCTAAATGTAAATAGAAACTCTTAAACTTAGATTACTTTTAAAAATATGCTTTATAAATATCTTAAATAAAGGTTTAATTTAATAATGAAGAAATTATGATATTTATTGCTAAAATAAGCAAGAATTGTACTTGACTAATATGAATTATGGACCAGTTAGATCTTTTTCATGATAACAAAATTTTTTACTTCTAAATCTCATTTGAGAAGAGTTTTGAAATCGATTAAATTAGGTTCAGGTGAAGTTTATTATTATTTTATACAAACTGTTTCTTAATCATTTTTGTGTGTGTGTGTGTCAGTGTGTGTGCGTGTGTGTGTCAAAGGTTCACCCCAAAAAGCAACATGAACATATCTTACATCAGATCTAAATTGTGTAAATGGTACCATCACTTTGTTTTCTCTTCTTGCTACTCACCACCAGGTCTTTGTCACTTGTAAATTGATTGTTGATATTTATGATGGATTAAACTGCAACTCTTCTTTAGCACACTGCAGTGATGTTGCAGATGCTACAGCTGTAGCATTAATTATTAAGCAACAACTTTAATAATATCTAAAATAGTCGTATTAATATAACCTGTAGTTGAAAACGTGGAATTTTGACATTTTTATGTTTTGGTCTAATAAATCTCTCCTCTGAGCCTTAAATGGCTAATTTATCAGATAGGCTGCAAACTGATCATCAGTTAATTTGGCAAGTGCACTGCAACGCTATATTTAAGTTTGACATTTCAGTGTCTACTAATGGAAAGTGGTTTCAAAGTCAGGTTAGAATCCAAACTGCTCATTTTTGTACAAGTAAACTGTAGTAGTGTCAGAATTCAGGAAACGAGTTGTCCTCTGCACAATTGCTCACTATTTTGCTTTCAAACTTTTTAGGTCACATGCAGGACTTAGCACAACAGTTTATAATGCATAGCAACTAACTCTTAATACATTAGAAAAACTAAAACATAAAAATCTAATCAGACTGAATTATTTTGTCTGCCTTACAGGAGGGACAAAGGGCAGCCCTGTGTATGGACTCTGAGCAGGCCAGATGGAAACAGAACAGGCCAAACATGAGACGGAAGAAAGTCTGATGTTGGCACAATATGGGACATCTTGCCACCATCCTCACAAACTCCAGAATGGAACTCAGTCTTCAGAAAAAGATTCTCTGCAGATCAATGAAGACTCAAATTGGATTACAAACACAGCACATTACAAACCTAGCAAAGGTGTCAGCGCCATGAAGAGGTACAGGGAGAACTGTGACATCCCATCTTTAGAACAGGGGCCGTGCAAGATAAATGGAGATTTGACAAATGGAGAGCTGAATCATGGATTTACTGAGGAGTCCGTATTGGTCCACCAGCCCAAGAAAATGAAAGTAGATGCTGAAAATAAAGGAAACCCTGACAAATGTTATAATTTGGCTAACAGCTTTTCTGAACTGGAAAGCAGTTCCCAACGGACAGAGATCAATTTTGATAAAAGGAACTGTCATATTCCCAACGGAGATATTTTTTGTTTGCCACGAAATAAACAAGTTCCAAATGGGGATGCATCGTCCTCTTCAACCATTCAAAGCACTCCGGGTGACCTGTTGGAAGAAACGCTGTCTCAGTATTTTCCTGAGCAAGTGTCAATTGCACCACAAACATCCGAGTCACAGTTGGACACTGTGATTGAAACAATGGCCAATCAGTTGTCTAAAGAAGGTGCACAGCCCCCTGCTCTAGCATCAGGATTCTCCAACTCATCAAATATGTCTGACTCACAGCAGCCTGTGGCATCTGCAAATGGCAGAAACAATTATAACTCTGTCAACTACTCAGTAAATGGATACTCAAATAATTATGAAGTAGGACAACAGCAGCAACACCACCACCTGCAAAAAACACCATCTTACTCTAGCCAGGAGATTGATTTGGGGTCACCACAAGGCATGATTTCACTTTCAAAAACTGCCAGTGGTTCACAACAGCATCCCAATGGTGGAAGTTGTTTAGTAAATGACACAAAGTCTCAGAGTATACATATTAAAGCCAAGCAAGAGTATAACTCTGTTAGATATGGATCCTTCCACAATTCTGGGATACAGGAAAGTAAACAAAGTGAAAAACCTAACAATGATAAGCTTCTGCATCATGGGCCTGGTAGGGGACCACAATATGGAAGGCAAATTCCAAATTTCCAAGAAAATGTTGGAAAGCAACATAAATCTGATGGTTTGGGTCACGTGGGGTCTGGTTTTCAACACCACACTGGGTTGGAAAATGGTATAGATGGCACATCTCAACAGAGAGCTAACATATCATGTTCGACTCCTAGTCAGACAGGCTGGATAGAACGAAATCCTCATTCCCAGCAGCAATCAACAAGTGACACATCATCTCAGCCACAAGAGCAGGACATGTGGAGGGGCTTTCCTGGTAAGCCTCAGTCAGAACAGCTGGCCGATGGCCCCCAAGTTCACAGCCAGTTACCGGAGCCAAACTCAGTGCAGAGATACGGTAAAGAACACACACAAGGAATTTTCACCAATAGGAGCCAAAGGTTTAACAACGTACAGCAAGAACAACAAAACTGTCTATCATCTCCAAGGCAGAGTGCATCAATTCAGCACAACACTGCCCCTGAGTGGCAACAGTTAAGTCCTAAAATTTCTCAAATGCAGCAAACTTTTCTCCAGAAAATACCTGAGCAGAGAAAACTTCTTCAAAATCAGGAAGTAGACAACTGCTATGAATCCCAGCCAGAGCCAGAGCACTTAGATGAGGATAAGGACTTGCAGGAGATCCTGTCTGCAGGTTTTGTAACAACACAGCAACAGCACTGCCTTCTTCAGCGCCCACTGTCCCATCCGCCACAGTTTGAAGTGCAACAACTTAAGTCTCCCAATTACAGACCTCACAGTCAGCCTCCACCAAGTCAGCACCAGCCTCAAACAGATCAGCCTCACACAAACAGTTCAGCTCAATCCAGCCAAGACATTCATCGCTTTGAGCCATTGGCATTCACTTTCAATAACACAACAGAGATGCAACAACCACAACCTCACAGGCAGTTTCCTTCAAACTCAGGCAGCAAACACCTCAAACACTTTCAACCACAGCAGCCTAACAACCATTGCCATGAGACCAACCAAGTGGATTTTCCACAGACCTCTACACAGTCGCAACCGCACTTACCACAAGGGCTGGTAAACCAACAAGTGACAACGCAGATGCATCCTAAAGCTGAACAGCAGATGAGGACCTCTTGCACTCAGTTCAAAACGGGACCTCGACTACCTCTGGGGCCAGGAGGGCCCCATGGAGACTTTCAGAAGCATGCAGCTCTGCGTATGCACCTTTTACAAAAACAGGAGCGCCACGGTCCCCTTCATCCTCCTCATAGCTCCAGTGACCCTAAACAAACTACTAGAGGTGTGAAAATGGAAAACGAGCCCAGATTTGAATCGACTGTTTCACAGCGGCAAGAGCAGCTGTTACAGATGCAAGAGGGAGGCATGGGTGGGATTCAAATCAAGCAAGAAAATCATCAGTTTCTGTGTGCTCAAAACAAAAAGCAGGGAAGTATCCTGGCATCTATGGAGCAAAGTCTGAGGCAGTACCAGCTGTCACCTGTGTTTGAGAAGAAACCTCTTGTTATTGGTTCATCCAATAAAGTCAAGGTGGAGTCTTCAGGGCCTGTAACCATTTTGTCAACCAACACAGACATGAATGGGATTGAATCAGCTGCAGGCACCTCATCCACCGTAGCTTTAAAAAACTCCACTCCTAAGAAGGAACAACTCTTAAAGAGTTTCATAGAATCTCCCATGAAGCTACTGGATACCCCTATAAAGAATCTTTTGGATACCCCCATGAAAACGCAATATGAAATTCCGTCCTGTCACTGCGTTGGTGAGTCCTGTAAAATAGGTGCTGAAAATGTTTGATTAGTTAGCCTGGACATATTAACACATTGTATTTTGGATTTAGATCAAATCATTGAAAAAGATGAAGGTCCATATTACACTCATCTGGGCTCAGCCCCTAGTGTTGCTGGCATACGGGAGATGATGGAGAAAAGGTTAGACATAAATAAAAAAATAAGTTAACAGGACATACAGCATTTTATTGTAATCTTTTGCCATGCAATTCACTTTTCTATCATGCTTTAAAGGTCGGGTCTGACTGGCCACGCCATCAGGATTGAGAAAGTAATTTACACGGGCAAAGAAGGGAAAAGTACCCAAGGATGTCCCATAGCCAAATGGGTATAAACAACTTTTATGTATTTTGTTTGAAACCTAAACAAATCAATCATTTCTGATTATTACTCATTATTTTGTTTAAACACACTCTTACACCTCTTACTGTATATATTTCAGGTGATTCGTCGATCCAGTGTAGAGGAGAAAGTACTTGTCTTGGTGCGTCAACGTAATGGTCATAGATGTGACACTGCCTGCATTATAGTGGTAATCCTGGTCTGGGAAGGCATCCAGACCAGTCTGGCTGACCGCCTCTACCTCGAGCTGAGTGAAACTCTTACAAAACACGGAGCCCACACCCAGAGACGCTGTGCTTTCAATGAAGAGTAAGAGAGCAATACATGACTTAACCCTTCTTATGCCAAAAATAGGTGTAAGACTGTGTTAAATTGGGAAGTTATTTTGTTGTTCAAAAAGCTTCTTCACATTCAGTTCTTTTCCCTGCTTGGTATTTTGCCATCAGTTTACTTAATCTACAACATTGTGGACAAGAATCCCTTATTTTCACTGATTGTACACTTTCAGGAGGACGTGTGCATGCCAGGGATTAAATCCTGATGCCGCCGGAGCATCATTCTCTTTTGGATGCTCCTGGAGCATGTATTATAATGGCTGCAAGTTTGCCCGGAGCAAAGTTCCAAGAAGATTTAAGCTACAGGGAGATGATGTTAGAGAGGTATTTTATGCACATTAAAACATATATTTTATGCAGACATCATTACTACAAAAATGCTCTAATTATCTTGATTTTGAAAATTTTCAGGAAGAAAGAATTGAAAGAAACTTTCAAAATTTAGCAACCTTACTGGGACCGTTGTATAAAACTATGGCACCAGAAGCATATGGAAACCAGGTGAGTACATCTGGACATTGTATTGTGCTTCCCGGTGCTTAACAGATGGTCATAAAAGACACAGAGAAGATAATGCATAACTGAAGTCAATGATTGGTTAAAAATAATTTGAACTCAGTAATTTCATTTGTTACCGATTAATCTGTTCATCTTTAATAAGTAATGTTAACTCATTCGCTGCCAGCGTTTCTCACCATTTTTACTGTTTTTTAAGAGTCACAGAACGTTGCGCGCTAGGATGATGTCGACACCAAAACAACCAAAACAAAGCAGAGACTCACCGCTTACATCAGGAAGAATCCGCGCGTTTCGAGCTTATATATTAGTGTATCAAGAGCTTTCAGCAACCAAGCCCTGTCACTATGGCGTGTTTTTAATGTTTGCAGATTGTTTTGTCTAAAGCCGGGCGTACACTGTGCGACTTTTTCACTTTTTTGAGCCGATTTTCCACTCGTGCGAGAATCCACGAGATCGGGGCAAGTTTTGCGCCGAGCGTCGTGTAGTGTACAGGGGGTTACGAGAGGCGATTAACACCACGTGACCAGCTACCGATCAGCAGTCGTGAGCTCGCACGGACTTCTGGAGTGTTCAATATTTTGCTCGTCCCTCGTGAGGGTATCGCACTGTTGAAGCGGCGCTGCGAGCAGCTGCGACCCAAAAAGTATCAGAACTGCTCACGGCGCATGCGCAATCCTGCATCAACGCCGCTCGCCGCTATTTCCCTAATAACACACGCTGTTCGTTTTTATTTCTACATGTTTTTTTACTCACAAAGACTGTCAAGAAAGCGTGTTTGTCGTGTTCATGTCAAATTAAACTGATCACAAAACACAGATTTACTCTCTTTATTTCGTTTTCCTCATCCAACCCCCATAAATCCCTGTGTGTCCTCCTGCAGCGCTCCCGAAGGACAACAGGCAAAACAAGACAAAAAAGTCTGACGTGTTGTGTAAAAACAGCTATTTTTAGCATTTTTTTAGGTCCGACCTGTTGCTACCAGACGTACGGTGTGAGCAGTCAGGTCGCATCCGAGAACTGGGTCGTGCAGTGTGAGCACATGACTCGTGAGATCTGCCCTGCGAGGAAGTCGTACAGTTTGAGCTGAAGCTGAGCGCTACGAGTGAAAAAGTCGCACAGTGTCCGCCCGGCTTAACTGAAAAGAATTTGTTAAATTTTGCAGATCCAGCTTCAGGTTCGCGCCTCACTTTTCTTACAGCAGCGGCCCAAAACGATCTCCTAACACATGGATTTTCTGCTTCCTGATCAAGTGACATGTGACGTATGCGGATGAAGATCGGCTTTAGAGCTGAGATGTTTGTTCTCACGGTGCGGGGGCTCGTCCCGATGCCCACACAGTGAAAAAAATGCAAATGACGACTTTAGTCGTGATTGGCAGTGAACGGTTGGATTTAAAATGATGACTTAGGTCATCAATGGCAGTGAATGAGTTAAGTACACTGCAGTGTTTCTTTTCTTAGCTTTTTGTACACCCTTTTTGCTGGTTACAGGTAGAATATGAGCATAGGGCACCAGATTGTCGATTGGGACTCAAAGAGGGTCGCCCTTTCTCTGGGGTCACTGCTTGTATGGACTTCTGCGCCCATGCCCACAGAGACCTTCACAACATGCAGGGTGGCAGCACTGTGGTAAGATAAATCTCACATATGGATAATTTGTCAAATACATTATTTGTTTCACCACTAAAGCAGGCGAAAGCCTTGTTAAAGATGTTTCTTGGCGTTTATTTGTCCCTCCATAGTTAATGGACACAGATCATTACAGTACAGCTCTTGAACCTACTTCCAATGAATGGTGGTAAAATACGCCACTGGCTACGCATGGTCATGGTGCCCCATTTTAATGTGACTTCAGCCCAGTCTCTATAACAGTTTTATTGTTTTCCAGGTGTGTACATTAACAAGGGAGGATAACAGAGAAATTGGGAAGATACCAGAGGATGAGCAGCTCCATGTCCTACCGCTTTATAAGGCTTCTACAACTGATGAATTTGGCAGTGAGGAGGGCCAGCAGGAAAAGATGAAGTCAGGGGCCATCCAAGTCCTCAGTGCCTTCCGCCGCCAGGTGCGCATGCTAGCAGAGCCTGCCAAGTCCTGTCGGCAAAAAAAGCTGGATGCAAAAAAGGCAGCTGCCAACAAGAATGCCCTGCTGGAAGGTTCTAGCGAAAAGGCAGAAAAGGCCCTCCAGGCCAAGTCAAAAGCAAGCACTTATGAGAATGCTGTTCAGAGCACTCCATTGCCAGGTAAAGTAACATTTCTTGAAATGTCTTTTTAAATGTATTTTATATAATAAATATTGCATGAACAATAGATTGAGTAAAAAAGATGACGGACTGGGTTTTATGTTATAGGTGCTGTGGCATCAGCCCTACAGTCAGGTCATCCATCGTTCCCCTTAGGGGTCCAGCCACAGCGACATCAGCATCAGGGCGTATTTCCCCCTTATCCTGCCCCAACAAATGCTGCAATCGCAAGGTTCTCCAACCATACTGGGCCTTTTCCAAGCACTTCCAAGCCAGGCAGCATGTATTCTCCTCAGCCACCTTCACCAGCCAGCCCTTATCTTTCTTCGTTCCACGTACCAAACTCTTACATGAATGGGACAAATAGTCCATACCCAAGTCCCCATTGTAATGGAGGGATGCCCATGGACAGTTACCATACCCTCTACACCTCAAACCAAAAGCACCCGGACATGTATAGACATCAGCAGCCAGCGCTTTACTCAGAGCAGCAGTATGGCGTACATCAGCATTTTGAGGTCAGTTATCCAAGATATAGTGAGCCAGGTTTACAAGTAAATGGTTACAGTGCCATTCAACCAGGTCAAGCCATGACGCATTATAGTCCCTATGGCCCTCACAGGACACCAGATGCTCAATTTATCAACCCCCTGTCGAGAGCGCCCACTGCCCATGGAGGGGCAGATTTTGCACGTGCTGTGAACAATGGCAATCAGTTTGGGGGATACCCAAATCCATATCTGCCTCAGAGCCCGCACCTCCTACCCTCTGGTCAAGATCCTTTCCATATGCAAATCAAGACAGAGCCGGGTATGCCTGGCCCACAAATGCTTTCAGCTCAGTTCAGTGGTGGGTGTTTAAATCCTGAAACACAATCAAGTTTGGGTCTGCCTAACGGAGGTGTTTTGGGTTCCAACGTTAAGCAGGAGCCTGGGACACCTCAGACACCCACAGCCCCACCAAAGCCCGAGATGTGGTCAGACAACGAGCACAATTTCTTAGACCCCGAGATAGGTGGTGTGGCTGTGGCACCGAGTCACGGCTCAGTCCTTATTGAGTGTGCAAAACGGGAGCTCCATGCCACAACACCGCTCAAAAACCCAGATCGGAACCACCCAACACGCATCTCCTTAGTCTTCTACCAGCATAAGAATCTGAATGAGGCAAAGCACGGATTGGCAATGTGGGAAGCTAAGATGGCAGATAAGGCTCGGGAGAAGGAGGAAGAGGCAGAGAGGAATGGTGGTGAGGGAACGCCTAGCAAGGGCAGCAAAAAGGGGGTAAAGCGTGAACACTCGGACTCGGAGGCCACCGGGGAACCTCCGTACAAGCGTTTTATTAAAGCACTAATGGAAGGATCCTCGTCATGCACAACGAACACGTATGCCATTACAACTCCATATGCATTCACTAAGGTCACAGGGCCTTACAGCCAATTTGTGTAGAAAACAACTCTGTTAAGGTGCTTTTACACGACACCAACATCCAGGTTTTACCAGCAGCTCTGTCGTTCCAGCAATCAAACGTCACATTTACATTAGGCCTTTTACCTCGTTCACAACCAAGCTCTTCTTCTGATGTTTTTTTTTTCTTTTTACAAATGTTGCAGTGTACATACACACACACCCCCAAGTCAGCGGTGCTTTCAGTTTGATTCATAAACATCTTTTTAGCTGGAAACTATGTTTGATTTTTGGTGGCTTAATTTTTTGTACAAAATTTTCAAGATGCAATTTAACTTAAAAAGAGAAACACTGATTTTGTAAACAACATAGTTCTCGGTGCTAAAGTCTGTGCTTATTACAGTTTATTTACACTCAAATGCGTTTACACTAAAACCACTCTACGAGTGTCTCAATGACTTCTGTGAATTAGAACACCCGACTCGAATCATGAGCATCAAAAATATTTAACAAGTCAGTGTTTCTTGGAGCACTTTTTGATCAGTGTGAATAAATGTTTTATAATTCCTAGAAATAGCAAACAAAAGCAGATTATCGTGAGTTTATAACAAGGTGTTATATCACAACTGTCGTTTTGTTGGTGCTTCTTTCACAAACAGATGCTGTCAAACTGTAAGTCGGAGTCAGTTATACGGCGAGTAAACCTGGAAAAGGATCATGTCAGCGCCTGTTTTTACTTTTCCCTACAGCAGGTTTACCGAACATCCTGCTTTGTGAATATTACATGTAGTTTTATGTCTGGTGCTCACTAAATGTGCTTTTTATACACTGAGGAACACAGAACAGAGTCAGCTCAGTGTCAGAGGGCAGCTGACTTGCTGTGGAATATTTATCCAATGTAATCGAACAGCAAGGGAGGTGAGATTTGTACAGTAAATTAATTCCAATGTTGGATTATTGTTAAGAGTTTTAATGTTGTAAAGCGTCGCAGTGGTCTATTCTATTGTTTTTCTTTTGGTTTCAACTGATTATTTCCTACGGTGCTACTAGAAATGTACAATGTGAGACTGTGTGGGCAATGAGAAGGCTCTTAGTACAGTATGAACCTGTCATATACCTCAAGACTAGTTGGGCAATAGACTTTTCTACATATCTTTTATTATTTTACTACTACTTTCAGATTTTTCACAGTTTGCCCACCAAATGGCGCGGAAGTTCATTTTTTACTTTCCATTGCTGGGAAAGTACTACTTGAACTGTAATTCTGTAAAATCAGGGACAATTTAAACTGATTTTGGGTGCATCTTTACAATCTGCTTTCATCATCGCGTCTTTTTTCACTTTCAGGGACTCATCTTTGCATCCTGAATCCCAATAGCGTTCATGTTTAAAACTGATCACACAGAAAAGAAAAAGAAAATTCTGTGACGCTAAAATGATGCTGTCCTGCAAATTCTTATTAGCTAGTAGGATGGTGAAAATTAATCAGAACAAATATGCACTGAGTTGATTAAAGGGAATATTAATGAAAATGTTAAAGCAACCTATTCACTTTTACTGAGAGGCAAGACCAGGGCAGCGATTGGTGTAGCTGCACGTCTAGTACGCATGTATAAAGAAATGTATTTATAACCACTAGGCAATTGAATACCTAATTTCTTCCCTATATTCCATTTAACTGATGCAATTCTATTGAATTAGTCAAATTAATGTAATCGTTCACGCCCATTTTATTCATGTATTCATTTTCTGAGAGCACTTCAATTCTTTTCAGCAAAAGAAGTATGTAAAAAAATACAAATGCTTTATTTAAAATGAAATTGTATATGTGTTAAAAATAAATTATGTTAGATTGTAAATACAAGAATTTGTATTGCAGGAGTAAAACTCACTCTTTGATATTCATGTTAGGTGCTTTTTTTCCCTGTCGGATTAACCCATTGTTCCTCATTTATAACCTTTAAAAAAATTCATAGGGGTTTTCCAGGTTAACGGATTATCCAGGAAGTTTTTGTAAATATTAGACTCTGTCATGACAATGTTTACAGTTAGAGGATGATACTAGCTCAGCCATTAGATGATCTAGTTTCATTAACTTTTTTTTGGGGGGGGGGGGTAAGTAAACCTACATATAAAAATGTTGAATTTTCCTGTACAGGACCCAGCTAGAGTAGCAGGTTGTTGCTGAGAAAGCCACGATGCCAGAAGCGGGTTTAAAGCATAGCCATACTTGAAGACGTTTCTGAGTGAGTCAAGATTTACTTGAATGATTTTTACTGGCTTAACTTGTGCGTTTCCTATGCTCAGCTCAAAGGTTAAGCTGGTACTTCATACGCGCGGTCTTTTGTTGCAGTTGGACACTAAAACGAATAATAAATGAAACTAAATTGCAACTTTTTGCAGTTTAACATTTTAAAGCTCGAGTTCTCAGTTTGGTATGCTAAAAGAAAAAAATCTGAAATACGGATGGTTGTTAATACTGTAAGTATTGTATTGTACTGGATGCAGTTTATTTGAAAGCTGTTTTATTGTATCATTCCTGATGTTGCTGATATGTGGGTGTTTCTGTTTTTATTAAAACTTATATTTATTTAAAGCAACTGGATTTGTTATTCTGCGTCAAGTAACAAGAAACTGGACAGAGTGCAAGTTCACAACTTATTTTTATGCTTATTTAACCAAACATTAGAAACACAAATAGAAAATCTGTTGGTGGACAAACTGATTTCATGTGTAATCAGATTACAGCCTTTTGCTGCCTTGTTATAGGATTCTAAAAGCAAAGTTTAGAAACATTTTAACCACTTTGAAATGTGTTTGTGTAAAAGTTGGGTCTAATTGTGATCCTACCTGTTATAGACGGCTTCCCAAACTGGGTTCAGTCACACAGGACTGATGAGCTATTCTAAAACGTTAGTGTAACGGCTGAAATTGCCATGTTCTCCTAAAAACTTTTACACAGCCATCGGTTTAGCATTACATGATAATTTACATGTAATTCTGTGGGCGTTTACAGGAATATTGATCAGCAGCAGCTGCAAAATGTCAGATTATGACAGCAGAGCAAGGATTTATGTAAACATCTTCTTAAAGCACAGATGTTTTGGAGACTGGGGCTGCTTTCAGCTCGCATCAACACACTTTGATCTTGACGTCGCTCAGACTAGCAGTTGGCTCACCTATCCTGCCGGACCAAAAAAAAATCATTTCTCCAGAAACTGGTAGATGGTAGACACTATAACTCTTTACACAGAAGCACACTCCAAAGTGGCCAAATGAGCCCATAAATGTATAATTTCAAAAACATTGGCAGATTCACTTTGGGAGTTTTCTTTTTTGTACAACTAACACCAAAGAATCCCACCAAGCTGAACTCCAGCACACACCATTACTGCAGCACACGTCTGCACTAGCTCATTTTGTCCACATGGGGGGGTATTAGCTCTGTCCCCATCACATAGTTCCAGTTGAAACTTTATGACAGAAAGGAGTGTTTATAAAAAATAAATCCAGCTGCATTGATGATTCGTGATTCTTCACTCCACATTCAGTCTTGGCTCCAGGATCTTCACACAAAGTGCCACTTGTCCACTGTGTCAGGTGTGAAACACAATCTGTTAGAGTATTAAATGCTGGCGAATGACTACAGCTGATCCAAGGTTAATGCACGCTTACCTTCTGAAGATACAGGACGTGCACTACCAGGAGCAGGAGCCTGGACCAAATCATTATGTGAATGACTCGAATCTCGGTTCCGATTTGAAAGCTTTTATTGTGTTTGGTAACAAACTTCTCACCTTCTGGACGACCGCTGTGGCATCAGCATGGCTGCATTTGAAAGGGCTGTCACAGCAAGACACGTTTTTACTGAAAAACAAAAAAGAAGTTAGCCGAGTTTGCTGCAGTCAAAAATAAAACATGCAGCAGGTGTTTGTTTCTTCCTTTCACTCACCATTCAATTTCTCCACCATTCGTTTGCTTCTGTATAAGCGCCTTCCAGTGCTCATGGGTGGATTTAATGATCTCAACTGCAAAGTCCTGCCAGCAGAGAGCAACAGATTTCACCTTTGGGTCTACTCACTTCTGTCAGTTCAGCTTCACCACAAACGGACGTGTTTTATTAGTTATCATACGGGGGCCAACCTTGTCTTTGAACTGTCCATCAAACCCAAACTGGTTCTCAGGCTTTCCATCAGGCACTTTATATTTCCTAAACCAGTCAACGGTGGCCTCTAAATGACCTGGTCGGCTCTTGCGGACGTCTTCTATACCTGAGATGCAAACGGCATTAAAAACAGTAAGAAACTAGAAATTTTTTACGCAACTTTGTATATAAAAACAATCAACTTTATAGTTGTGCTTTAAGCAGCAGAAAGGATAGGTGGGTTAAACACAGGTTTAGATTAAGAAACACGCTTGCTGGGCAAAAAACAAGGTCTTATGATCTGTCTGAAGAGAGGAATATAAACAAAACCATGTTGACAATAAAAACTCCACCTGGTGTTTATTGTTGAGCAAACACATCCATTATGACGATCTGCCATGTACCTTTTAGCTAGCCGTTAAGTGTGCAGCCAGATGGGTTTGAAATTAAAGTTGTACAGTTACGTTAAAGCAACACTAGTTTTTCCACACGTTATTGCTTTCTAACTGGTTTCAGTGATTCTTGAAGCAGAAACTAGACCAACTTTACATTGGACAGCACTCAGCTAACCAGAAACTGCACTTGACAGTTTTGTGGTTCGGATAGGTACACTAGGGGGAGCTCTCTGCCTGTTTTACGGCAGTAACTGTTTACTGTGCCGATAGCTAATATAAAAGCTAGCAGTTAGCTTTCTCAGTTAGCCGACTGTCACTAAAAAGCACGAAAAGGAAAAGATTTTTTTTTTTTGGTATCATGGCGGAGCCTGGAAGTAAAAGTAACAGAGTAATGTCTTTGACGGTGAAGCAAAGAGCTAAACCCAGGGTGAACATCAGCATGGCCTACACTTGTTTGAGGGACCTGAATGAGGCTTCAGAACAGCAAATTGATGGTGACCTGGCTTTGTTACTAACAGACCTGTTAGTAGTATTTTTCAGTCCAACAGGGTGGATGGTTTCACCTTGTAGCCATTTACTGCCATTGATGACAAAAGTTGTCATCAGCATGTTTTTACTGTGTGGGCATCGGCACGAGCCCCGCACTGCCAGAACAAACAACCCAGCTCTAAAGCCGATCTTTATCTGCGTACGTCACGAGTCACATGATCAGGAAGCAGAAAATCCATGTGTTAGGAGATCGTTTTGGGCCGCTGCTGTAAAAAAAAATAAATAAAGTGAGGCCCGAACCGGAGAAACTTCTGCCGATCACAATTCGACAACGGATTATGAAAGAATGGATTAAGCTCGAAATGTGTGGATTCTTCCTGATCTAAGAGGTGCGTCTCCTCTTTGTTTTGGTAGTTTTGACGTTGACATCATCCTAGCGGACAACGTGCTGCGACTCTTAAAAAAAAACTGTGAAAACGCTGAAAAACGCTGGCAGCGAAGGGCTTTACTGGTCAGCAAATGCTGGCAGTTAATGAGTTAAATATCAGAAGACTCATTTTAGCGTTAGCTCATTGTTAGCACTCCGTTTTTACGACTCTTGCAATTCTACTTTCAAAAGTATTAAGTGTTGCTTTAATGTTCTTGTACTTTATTTCATTGGTCTAGATAAAATGTACACGATTCCACTCTATTACAGTGGCACTGTTAGCCTAAAACACTCACAGCTGAGCTTTTTAGCATCTGGGTCTTGGGCGTTGATGGCAATGACCTTCCAGTCCATTTCTCCCTCATCAATCATCGCCAAAATGCCGAGAACCTTTACTTGGATCACCTGACCTGGAGAGCACACCTGAACAGGTGGATAAAAAATGAAAACGTATGATTCAGAGAAATATTTCACAGGGATAAGATATTCAGCAGCATACAGGTGTTCAGCGGTCCTACCTGGGTCCCGATGTCACAAACATCAATAGGGTCGTTGTCACCACAGCATATTGTTTCTTTGTCTTGATGGTTTGGATCTTCCCATGTCTAAAAAAAAAAACATGCAAGAAATTTCAATTATCAACTAAACAAAGAGTGAGCGGGTGACGATCTGAAAACTGCTGCTAGGTGTGTTGTGTTCCTCGCCTGTGGCAGTGCTCCATAGTTCCAAATGTAACCTTTGTGAGGAAAAATGTTGGCAACATATCTGAGCTTTCCTTTCTTAACATCTTGTTTGATTGGATTCAGAGGCTCTTTTGTTGCAATCTGTTGACAGAGGCAAAACATCAAGTAAACCATGAGTGCATTTGCTCATATCGGATTAAAATAATAATAATCTATTAAAGCTAAAATATCAGGAAAAGACGTAAAGATGCATGAAAATTTAGAATTTGGGTTCTTTGCTTACCTCCATTTTAGCGTTTGACCACCTAGGTACCTCAACCACCATGTTATAAAGTACCTTAAAGAACAGAGATGGTCTCATTTTCTATGGGATAAAATGAATGTAAACATCTGTACAGAACCGTACCTCACTCTCACTCTTGGGTTTTTTAGCTGGCACGTCATAATCCTGTTAAAGAGAGAAAGGAAAAATTACACTTTCAGTTTTAATTTAAAACAGAAACGAACACCCCCAAGCACGATAGTTACCTGTTCTGACTCTGCTATAAGCGGGATGTCATGGAACGGTGAAATGTACTTCCCATCTGCAGTTTCTGGGAAAGAGAACCAAACATTTGTCAATAAGATCCAAGGAGACAGTAAAACGTGCACTCAGTATTTTCCGTTTGTAATGTTAATATAGATTCACTGATTTTAAAGCAAAAGCTGCAAAGCAGTGGGATTATGCATGCAACTCTGCAGAAACTGAAATACATTTTGCACAGATTTTATAAATGAAAAATGTTTAAAAGCAAAAAGTAAATAAATACAGAAATTACTTTATTCACTGAAGTGTTCTTTATGAGCGTGCTCACCAAAACACTACCCACGTGACTGACGAACAGGAAGTAAGTCCAAGTGAGGATGCTAAATTTTGTTCTACACCTTTTATAAACCATTTTGCTGCACAAGTTTCATTTATAAACTGGCATGGTTTGAATTAGAATTAAATGTAACAACCCGTGCAGAAAGCACAGTGCTAGCATTCAAAGGTCAAATGTTTACGTTGACCAGATAGTCGTGTTTAACGGGTTTCGCCATTTTAAATCAATGAACATAATAAAGCACGCGCGGTTCTTCGTAACTTACTAAAATAAAGGCGGTAGTCTGGAGAATTCGGGTGTCCTCTCTGCTCCGTTTCATAGTGCATCGTTTTTCTAAAACAATACAAACGTCGTCCCGCTGCTGCTTGTGTGAAGACTTTATTACAGAAGGGAGAAGATGAGTCCAAAAACGTCGCCAAGCGTCTAAACGAGGAGCCTAGCAGCAGCGTTTTCATTATGCACGCTCTGAATCCACTGGTTCCTGTTTCCGGTCCACGCTTCCCTTCAGGATCCGTAAACTTCCGGTTAAAGATTTTCAAAGTAAATGATAGACTCGTTTACAGTTTTTCTCGATTGGTTTGGCTCATTTCCTGAAACCGAGATGACATTCACAAAATAACATGGACAAATCTCCAAACCACCTTGCAATTGTTCACAACAGAATGTCAGTTTTCATTGGTTTAATCAAATTGCAAATGCTTTAGTACATGTCTCAAGTGACTCTGTGCTTCTTTTCAAATGATTATGTACAAGTAGCTACAGTTAGCACAATGAGCCCACATTTAGCACATTTCCCAAATAAATAGATCTTGCCGATCTAAACTGATTAGTTGATTTGTCAGTGAAATGGTCACTCACTCCACAACATATCAGCATGGTTTCATTGTGTAAGTCATCATATGCACAATTGTCTGTTCAACTGTCAAAATTAATCGAAGATATAATACCATGAAAGAATATCTTGGAACATTTGATAAAGTTATGACAGTACTTGACAATCAATCAGGTGAAATTAGAACTAACAAGGAGCAAACTCCCACATCACAGATGACCAATCAAACAGGTTGTTCAGTTACCTGACAGGTGTTGTCTATGATCATGACTGCTGCCAAAAGTATATAGATAGAGCTTGGCCCGGGGCCAGTTTCATTTGCAGTGTGAACATGGAAGCACCTCGCCAAGTACAACAGCAACTTCCTGCTCGAGGAAGAGGAGGAAGAAGAAGAGGAAGAGGAGGAGTGAGAATGCGTGGAGGAATGGGGGAAGAGGCCAAGGAGCACGGAGGCACCATGATGTCCCAGATGAAATCCGGGCCACCCTTATTGACCACGTTATAAACCATAGCCTCACAATGGCAGAGGCAGGTCGCCGAGTGCAGCCTAATGTGGCTCGGTCTACAGTCTCCTCCATCATCCAAACCTCTCGCAGGGAAAACAGGTACAGAACTATGCTATTGAACTATTCAGTGTTGGTGTGTGTGTAGGCCTAGTGTACTGTAATATCGTCATGTGATGTTATATGATACTATAAAAATGACAAAGACAGAAAAATGAAGAAAATATTGTGAATAGTATTCCAGTCACTGTGCAGTGCATCACACTTCTAGTACCATAGGACAGCAGTACAATTACAGTGGTAACTCATTTCGTAACAAATTTACAGTGTTGACCTTTGACTTGTATGTCTAGGATTGGACGACAGCCTCAAGTGGGTGGCAGAAGAAAACTTCTAAATGAACAACAAGAACGAGAAATATGCAACATGGTCATTGCAAATAATGCCATCACACTGAGACAGAGTCGTAATGCAATCCTGCTAGACAATGTAATGTTCCAAAATACGAACTCTATCAGCATCTCCACAATAGACCGGGTATTGAAGAAACATCTGATGACCATGAAACAGATTTACAGGGTACCATTTGAGAGAAACTCAGAGTGAAAGGGCTGCGGTACCAGTATATGCATGTAAGTCACCTACTGGTTGTCTATCATTGTAACACTATTACAATAAGACATGGTTACCACTGTTTTCTTGTTTTGCGGTATCCTTTTCACCTTCAGAATGCAGCTTTGGGTGACTAGAGCATTTTGCCTAGAAATTGTCGTCAGTTTCCCGCTCCCTGTTTGTACAGTAATTCAGATCCTCCCTGCAGTATCTGTCTCTACTTGAATGATTAGATTTATTTCTATTCTATTGTAGAGAATAATGGCATTAGAAGCCAACGACACCCCTCACATCCTAGTGTTCGTTGATGAAGCTGGCTTCAACCTGGCCAAAGGTCGAAGGCGTGGCCGTAACATCATTGGCCACCGAGCCACTGTGGATGTCCCAGGCCAGCGAGGGGCAAATATAACAATGTGTGCCGCTATATCAGAAAGAGGTGTGGCCACACACATTCCCAGTTTAGGGCCCTACAATACACAAAAGCTCCTCAATTTTTTGGACCACCTTTATACTGATCTGATCCCAGAAAATGAGAGAGGTGTAGAAGGACCTCAGCTACCACATTATGTCATTGTGTGGGATAATGTGAACTTCCACCGCGGCCCACGCATCAGAACCTGGTTCACCACCCATCCCCGGATGCTAATGGAGTTTCTTCCACCTTACTCTCATTTCCTAAATCCAATTGAGGAGTTTTTTTCAGCTTGGAGGTGGAGGGTGTATGAGCATCAGGCTCAAGACCAGAGGGCCCTGCTGCATGCAATGGATGCTGCATGTGAGGACATCACAGGGGACCAATGTAGGGGATGGTTGAGACATTCACGCCGTTTCTTCCCTCGCTGCATCGCACGAGAAAATATCTGTTGCGATGTGGATGAGAATTTATGGCCTGACAGAGAGCAGCGCGTCGATGGCCAGGAGGATGAGGATGGTGGCCAGGAAAGAGAGGGTGACAATGGCTACCACTGAAAATATTACTGTACTATAGTTCTGAAACCTTATTTACAGTATGGTAGGCTAGAGTTGTTTTTGTTTTTTGTTTTGTTTGTGTTTATAACTGTTCACATTTACAGAATCCTGCATATGTTTTCTTTTCACAGTATGTTCTCTAATGTTAACATTTCTTTGTACAAATGAAAATGTTTAGTTTCCTTGAGTATGAGTGGTTAATTGGAGGCCGATTTTACTGTGAAATCTATTGGTTTTATTCATAGTGGTATTCTGTTGCTAGACCTGTGCCTCAGTGACACAACGTCTGAGCATTTTGACTTGCAGTGCTTAAACAATGCCAAAGGTATAATGCATTTTGGGAGCATTGACTATTTATATGGGAAGGATATTTAGTTTTGACACATGGATAAACTCTTTTGGGAGAGAAATGAGCTTTTGCAGGGGATCCATGGTGTTGTGCTAAACCATCCAGGTTATTTTGACAAAAGCACTAAATGAATGCACATGTGCCAAGGCAATTGAGAAGGATCTGTGCTATTTTGACTGTACTGACCTTTTATATGGGAAAGGAATCTACTTTTGAAGCATGGACGAAGAGTTTGGGGAAAGATATTTGATTTTGCTAGTGAGCTATAATGTTGGGCAGCACTGTCAGACTGTTTGGCCAAATGACCTTATGGTTTTGAGAATGTCATCTTGGTTTCAGGAATAGAGCCAAGCCAATCGAGAAAAACTGTAAGATGCATTTCGCGTTACACATCAGTGTGACCAACAATTTCAATCAGCGTAATAATATAAAAAAGAATTGAGTGGAAAAAAAATGAATTGCACAGGAAAACCAATGTATGTCCACTGCTTACATTAGGAGGTAATAGCTTGGTTACTATTTGATGTAATTGGAAGACAGTATTAAAGAGATACTTTGCAAATTTTGATGTGTTAAAATCATTTTCTGGAGCCAGTATGTGTTAAAATTACTCTTTATAGGGTTAATGAAAGGTCACCTAGCCCCTACCGCCTCATGTGGCCAGAATCTTCTGCTTGCAAGTTCAGACTGGAGAGCTTCTCAGTTGGGAAAAAATGAAGTCAATATACCTAGCACTGCAGTCTGGTTTCAGCATGTTTCCTGCATGTTTTAGATCATGAATGCAGTAGACACTAATGAAGGCTGGAGAGGCATTTCATCTGTTTAAGGTGTTAAAAAGACAAACACAACAAAGATATAGATTTTACTTTTGGTTCAACAAACAGATTCTAGGGGGTGATAAAAGTAAGCCAAAAACTCCCTAGTCTCCCTTTAAAACTGTATCTTTAAATACAATAGTAAAATAGACCATCCCATTGTACTTTCTGCACCATTGACAGTTGTGGGACTCAAAGCGTACACCCTTCTGCACATGACAGTATTTGCATCAGATAACTATTGACAGTTAGAAAATCAAATATCTGAACCTATAACAGCAACTTATGAGAGGTGTGATTCAACAGAAGTCAAAACGTGGTAAAAATTTGACTTTATTTTTAAAGAGGAAAATGTTTTTTGTTCACATGAAGGCTGAACGGAGCACAAAACCTTTATAGAGTGTAGCAAATACAAGACCTATTGGTTCCTTTTACTTTCAACTCCAAAATCGTTCTTGTGTTAAGATGTTTTCATTGGCTTGATCACCTGATAAACAACCCCCTTTCCAAGTTCTAAAATGTAATGTTAAAATGCATCAATTATAAAAATTGAAAGACTAAGAAGTTGTGGCCTTTACAAGCTCTTGGTAAATACACCCTTAAACAATTAACGTCACATGGCATGTCACACTGACTGTGTCATTGTTTACCTAGGAAAATCTAAGCCATGGTACAGAGACGGAGTGTGAAAAACCAAATACATGCTGGCTGCCTTAGAAAGGAAGTTTGTAACCATGACATAAACACATCTATAAATGCAAAACAGTTTTAAAGGTTTCAGACCTGGGTTCGTGTTAACCAAGATTCCAGGGGTGATTTTTTTGCTAACCAAACTTAAACTAAGCTAACATAACCAAATCTAATCTAAACTGTAGATAAACTAAAATAAACTAATTTTTTTATGGCATCAATTAGCAATTCGATGTTAATGTTCTTAGAAAACAAATTAAACGTAAAGAGAACATGTTTGACCACTTGACTGTTGTCATGAGAAAATTTATTTATGATTTCTGTAAAAAAAATCGTCTTGGAGCATAAAATAGAGACTGATGCATCATGTCACAATTAGTGAAAACTTACTGTAACACAGGATTTCTCCACAAATGATGGATGGATGGATGGATGGATGGACTGACAGAAGGATGAATGGATGCTTGGATGTAAGGATGGATGGACTGACAGAAGGATGGATAGTTGGATGGGTGGATGGATGGACTGACAGAAGGATGGATAGTTGGATGGGTGGATGGATGGACTGACAGAAGGATGGATAGTTGGATGGACTGACAGAAGGATGGATGATGCTTGGATGGAAGGATGGATGGACTGACAGAAGGATAGATGGACTGACAGAAGGATGGATAGTTGGATGGACTGACAGAAGGATGGATGATGCTTGGATGGAAGGATGTATGGACTGACATATGGATGTATGGACTGACGGATGGATGGACTGACAGAAGGATGGATGGATGCTTGGATGTAAGGATGTATGGACTGACAGAAGGATGGATGGATGGATGGACTGACCGAAGGATGAATGAATGCTTGGATGGAAGGATGGATGCTTGGATGGAAGGATGGATGAACTGACAGAAGGATGAATGGATGCTTGGATGGAAGGATGGATGGATGGATGGACTGACAGAAGGATAGATGGACTGACAGAAGGATGGATAGTAGGATGGACGGATGGATAGTTGGATGGACTGACAGAAGGATGGATGATGCTTGGATGGAAGGATGGATGGACTGACAGAAGGATAGATGGACTGACAGAAGGATGGATAGTTGGATGGACTGACAGAAGGATGGATGATGCTTGGATGGAAGGATGGATGGACTGACAGAAGGATAGATGGACTGACAGAAGGATGGATAGTAGGATGGACGGATGGATAGTTGGATGGACTGACAGAAGGATGGATGATGCTTGGATGGAAGGATGGATGGACTGACAGAAGGATAGATGGACTGACAGAAGGATGGATAGTAGGATGGACTGACAGAAGGATGGATGATGCTTGGATGGAAGGATGGATGGACTGACAGAAGGATGTATGGACTGACAGATGGATGGATGATGCTTGGATGTAAGGATGTATGGACTGACAGAAGGATGGATGGATAGATGGATGGACTGACAGAAGGATGGATGATGCTTGGATGGAAGGATGTATGGACTGACAGAAGGATGGATAGATGGATGGACTGACAGAAGGATGGATGATGCTTGGATGGAAGGATGGATGGACTGACAGAAGTATGTATGGACTGACAGATGGATGGATGATGCTTGGATGTAAGGATGTATGGACTGACAGAAGGATGGATGATGCTTGGATGTAAGGATGTATGGACTGACAGAAGGATGGATGGATGGATAGATGGATGGACTGACAGAAGGATGGATGATGCTTGGATGTAAGGATGTATGGACTGACAGAAGGATGGATGGATGGATAGATGGATGGACTGACAGAAGGATGGATGATGCTTGGATGGAAGGATGTATGGACTGACAGATGGATGGATGATGCTTGGATGTAAGGATGTATGGACTGACAGAAGGGTGGATGGATGGATAGATGGATGGACTGACAGAAGGATGGATGATGCTTGGATGGAAGGATGTATGGACTGACAGAAGGATGGATGGATGGATAGATGGATGGACTGACAGAAGGATGGATGGATGGATAGTTGGATGGACTGACAGAAGGATGGATAGATGGATGGACTGACAGATGGATGGATGATGCTTGGATGTAAGGATGTATGGACTGACAGAAGGATGGATGGATGGATAGATGGATGGACTGACAGAAGGATGGATGGATGGATAGTTGGATGGACTGACAGAAGGATGAATTGATGCTTTGATGGATGGGTGGATGGATGGATGGATGAATGAATGGACTGACAGATGGATGGATGATGCTTGGATGGAAGGATGGATGGACTGACAGAAGGATGGATGATGCTTGGATGGAAGGATGTATGGACTGACAGAAGGATGTATGGACTGACAGAAGGATGGATAGATGGATGGACTGACAGAAGGATGTATGGACTGACAGATGGATGGATGATGCTTGGATGTAAGGATGTATGGACTGACAGAAGGATGGATGGATGGATAGTTGGATGGACTGACAGAAGGATGAATTGATGCTTTGATGGATGGGTGGATGGATGGATGGATGAATGAATGGACTGACAGAAGGATGGATGGATGCTTGGATGGATGGATGGACTGACAGAAGGATGGATGGATGGATGGATGGACTGACAGAAGGATGGATGGATGCTTGGATGGATGGATGGATGGATGGATGGACTGACAGAAGGATGCTTGGATGGATGGATGGATGGATGGATGGATGGATGAATGGACTGACAGAAGGATGAATTGATGCTTGGATGGATGGATGGACTGACAGAAGGATGGATGGATGGATGGATGGATGGATGGACTGACAGAAGGATGGATGGATGGATGGATGGATGGATGGATGGACTGACAGAAGGATGAATTGATGCTTGGATGGATGGATGGATGGATGGACTGACAGAAGGATGCTTGGATGGATGGATGGGTGGATGGATGGATGGATGAATGAATGGACTGACAGAAGGATGGATGGATGCTTGGATGGATGGATGAATGGACTGACAGAAGGATGGATGGATGCTTGGATGGATGGATGGATGGACTGACAGAAGGATGGATGGATGCTTGGATGGATGGATGGATGGATGAATGGACTGACAGAAGGATGGATGGATGCTTGGATGGATGGATGGATGGATGGACTGACAGAAGGATGGATGGATGCTTGGATGGATGGATGGATGGACTGACAGAAGGATGGATGGATGCTTGGATGGATGGATGAATGGACTGACAGAAGGATGGACGGACCTTTTAAAACTTAACAGAAAAAGTCGATTTGTCCCTTTAACTTTATGGATTTTAGGTCTGGACCTGTGTCCTGCATTGACTCATCTAAACGCACCAACAAAGGTTTTAGTATTGCTTTAGTGCCCACCCACCCTCCGCTTCTAATCTTCAATACACGGTGAGATCAAAGTCCGTGTGTATTTATTATATCCTAAACAAACACCCCATCCCACGTACCTTCATGTGCCTCTTTTAGTGTTGGTCTCTTCAAACAAATGACGAACTCAGCAGGTAACACAGCTGCCATAAAAAGCCGCTTTAAGAGCACGCTTCTCTTTGAGTTTGTTGCCAACCAGCTTTGATTCTGCTTTGTACAAATATTCTGTTTATTCTGTGTGTTGGAGACGATGGCGTGGGCTTGTTTGATATTATTTATGTAAATTGAGTCAAAATCCAAATTTCTTTAGAGATTTGTAAAAGTTTTCTGGTGGAATGCTTTTGTTTGTTTAAAAGTTTGCTTCTTTTTTAGGTAAATCTGTGACGACGAGGATAAACACGAACAAAAGAAGTGAAGAGCACTTTGAACTTTTTCAGGGATTAACAAAAATGTCATCCAGTTGATTTCGAGCTTCTTCTTTACCTTGAATGGTATTTAAGCAGTTTTAAAATCTGCTATATGGTGAAAAATTCTCAGCTGGATTTTCTCTCAGGACATTTCAGACAAACTGACCTTTTGTTGCACAAACAGCCCCAAAGATCATCTTTTCATCCTACTAAACAAACAGGTAACTTTGTTTCCTTCTTTGTGCTTTTCACATTTATTTCTGTCAACCTGATCAAGTTCACGTTTATTTTTTTGTTTTGTTTTTATGTTATTTATTTTTCATCACAGGTTAATTGAGTTTGTTTGGCAGAATAAATTCATGTTTAAAGAGATAGTCCACCCTTAAGTGAAATTTAGTCTGTTACTGTATTTCCCGGAGTAAGACCAGTGGGGAAAAGCATTATGTAACCAGTCCAGCCATTCACCTAATCTGGAAGGATTATGTTAGCTTTAGCTTAGCATAAACAATGTAAGTGAATGGCAACAGCTAGCATTTCATGAGGAAAAAGTTGTGAAAATTACTCAGCAATGACCCCTATGCTTTCCTGGGTGACCTCATTAATCACATTCACTGTAAATGAAAATAACAACACAGAGATATTACTGGAGTTAGACTTGGGACTGCATTACGACAAAGCACCACTGTAAGTCACCACTCCATGGTGCAAGCACATAGGTAGCCTGAGTCACCTCCCTTTCCAGTTGGCTCATGGGTTCCTGGAAGGACAAAAAAATTATTGCAATTCAACGCGACTAAAAGAGCTATTTTCCAACCACTTTGCCTTACGCCCTGGATCGCACATATGCTGTGCTTCAATTTAAACCTCTGGAGGCAGGCATTGCAGATTTGCAACATTTAAACCTACCTACCTGGTTACTTCACGTACGTATTTCATGAGCGTTTTTTTACTTTGAAGTACCCCTGAAGGACTTAGTTGTTCGTCTTTTATCAAAACGTATTTTGAGCCTGAGAGGGATAAATGAAAAGTAATGTTGGGTGTTTCAACCACGCCAGTCACGTACTTTGAGATTTATCAGCTTGTAAAAGTTTAGAATTAGCATGACCACAAACCAGATATCGGCACGTTGCACATATGACATCACCACTGAATCTCCTCTCCCCTAGCGTAGCTGCTACTTACCAAACAGCCAGATTTATGGTGATTCTTTCCTCCTGAAGGAACAATTTGAAGTTCTCTGAACTTACAGCCATTTCGCTCTGGTTTTTCTCCGTGTCTGGTTCTGTGATGTCACTTTACTGCTGCGTATTTGTAGTCCTGGACTTATTTTCACACAAAACCTAAAATAACATTTTCCCCCGTTCAAAAATGAACGCGTTCTTGGTATCAAAATGTGTATTTAACCCTTCAGGACCCGTGGGGACATTGATGTCACAACCAATTTCAAACATCTGCAAAATTGCTTCTTGAGTCAAATATTCAAGTTTGAAAATCCCAAGTGACATTCTATCCATACATATATTGAAAATGTTTCAACTTCTTTATTTATTTATTTTTTATTGGGGGCAGCAGTAGCTCAGGAGGTAGTGCAGGCTCCCACCAGGGGCCTTCTGCTGTTGTGTCCTTGGGCAAGACACTTCACCCAACTTGCCTGTGCTGGTGGTGGTCAGAGGGGCCGACGGCGCCAAATGGCAGCCTCGCCTCTGTCAGACCTCCCCAGGGCGGCTGTGGCTACAAAGTAGCTTACCATCACTAGCAGTGTGTGAATGTGAGAGTGCATCAAAGTGTCTCTGAGTGTCCTAAAAAGTGCTATATTAGTTCGATGTCATTATTATTATTATTATTATTATTATTTATTAAAGTATTTTCTACATTTTGATGTATTTATTCCAATGTGTGTTCAACTTCAAAAGGGGTTTGGTTCTACAGGGTAAAAATTCACGGACATCATATGTGAAATCTATGGCACCTGATAAGTGGGATTAGAAAATAGCTACCGGCCCTCCAGGACCAGAATATAAAACCCCTGGTTCCTGTATTTGGCAACCAACAACAATGCCTTCTACTGGCTGCTAGATGTAAACATAAACCCAGTGTTGTGTCGTCTAAACAAATATTTGATTATTTTTCAAATGAATGTATGGCTTTTAAAGCAAATACCTTCATTCTGCACACCTCTAAAGGCCCCATGGAGGTATATTTTTTTTATGTAGCTTTTTAGTAAACTGCTCCATATTCAATCTTTAAACCTCCCATTGGATTGATTACTTTCTGCAGATGGAAAGCTTTTTCTGGAGGTTTCACCACAAAGATTCATTTACACTTTATGGAAATGAGCATTCCCACGAAATTCACAGTCAAAATGAAACATGACAGTTAATAAATAAAAATAAAATTAATGTTAATGTTTGTTTTAATGTAGGTTTTGTGTTAGATTTAAGTAAACAAGTAAAAATGACTTGTATAAAGGGGTAGGGATATATAAGTTTCCACTTCAGCCTACTCCTTTTCAAACACAGATGGGATGATATGTATTTTTTCTGTTTGTGGTACTTTTTAAAAAATTATGTATGTTTTCTTTGTTTGAAATAAACTAAACTAAATGAGCATTCCCACAAAATTCACAGTCAAAATGAAACATGACAGTTAATTAAAAAAATTAAATTACCCAGATTATCTTATCTAATCATATCAGAAAAAAATGTAAAAATGCTAACTAAAACGTAACAACGACTTTGAGTGTGTTAATGTTTGTTTTAATGTGTCAATTCTTGGCCGTCTTTAAATTCTGACAGATGACATCATATTGGATCAGGCAGTCATCACTGTGACCTCACAATGAAACACTCATTCACTGTTTTGACAAATAACATTTTTCTGATTGTGTTATCGTGTTCCTGATGATCCAACCAGATCGGACTACTTTCTTAAATCCGGTTGAATTATATTAGACAACTTGTTGGACAGGCTATATAAAAGCACCCATTCAGCATTGAGTAAACACAAAGCTGCCTTTATTGTCTCAGGTGATTTACAGTCGGGTCATTTACATGACTACCTGTTTTTACTTCCCCGTCTGCGTTTGGCGCGCTGGCAGCACCAGAAAAAACGAGTTTCTCAGGATGTTTCATCTAGTTTAAGAAGCAGGAATTTTCTGTCTACAAACTTTCATAAAAACGAAGTGTGTCATCTTCTTTTGCTGGTATAGACGTGATGACCTGAAGGGAGGAGAGGTGTGGCCTTCGTGACAGGTAGGGGGAGGAGTTACCTGTGCAGAGTTGGCAGCCAGGGTACATTGAATAGTACACCTGTTGCACTTCCCAGGCTCTCTCTCTTTTTTTTCTTCCCTTCCTTTCTCTTTCAGCAGCCTGAGAGCACAGGGGGACTGACAGGCTTACCATGGATCCCAAGGAGGGCAGCGGGACTGAGAAGGAAAAGGAGAAAGTGATCAGAAAGAGGCCCAGGCCGGTGTTCCTGCGCTACCTGGAGAGGAGAAAGACGGACACTATAGTAGCTGATGACACGGCCAAAGGTGACATTAACCTGGGGACATTGGTGAGGAGGAGTCAGTCTGACAAGACGGAGTACAGCGCCAAACTTAAAGGTACAGCAGCTAATCACACTCCCTGGGGGCCAAACTATGGCAACTATTTAAACACCGCATTTTATTTTGAAAAAAAAAAACATAAAAGAATCTGATTTCCTGGAGTGACATTAGAGAAAGTCACACATTTTAGAAGAGCACCTGTGACTTCAGAGGAAATAATTTAACAGACCCGCTCCCAGTGAGTGAGCGTCGCTCCGTGCTGGGCACCTGTTGTGTTGCTATGTGTAGAGCAAAGCAAGATACTCCCTTAGGGATGAAGCCGCATATGCAAAGTGATCCCAAACTCAGGCCCAGAGGAGTGGCCTTTACAGTGTTCCAGACCAGCGGGTAAACAACACATGGATAGATGGAAAAAGGACATTTTGTTCCCAAAATACTTGTTTTATACTGAGGGGAAACAAGGTTGAAGTTCTGCTAAGCATTTTCTCTCAAAACGTTTTAAAATGAAAAGATCATGAAGTAGAACCTGACTGAAAGAGATGTGTGTGAGATTAATAATTGCTGACAGAGTCTTTTTAGTTGAACTCACATTTACATTTTTAAAAACTGGCCCCACCAGTCCTGGAGCGCAGTCAGGCTCTGGGAATGCTGCACTTCAGGCAAAATGACATCCGGCGTCATTGTGAGGGTGTGTGTGTGTGTGTGTGTGTGTGTGTGTGTGTGTGTGTGTGTGAGGAGGTGGTGGTGGTGGGGTCACTTTAAAACTATGAGAGCTTAAGTACGTTGGTCTTCTTGTGCCACCTGTTTTTTTTTCTGCACACGTCACATCAATCAATCAATACTTTATTAATACCAGAGGGAAATAAGAGAAACATATACACATACAATATTCAATTTTACACTCATACACACACGCACGCACGTACGCACACACACATGCATGCACGCACGCACACACACACACACACACTTTCTCAACAGCGGCTCTGTTTACCTGCAGCAAAGCCACTCTCTCCTTTTCCCATCCTGCCTACCTGCATCATGATGGGGAAAACTGTCAATAAAACACACACACACAGGTGTTTTTAGTAAAGCACCCCCCCCCCCCCCACACACACACACACACACACTCCCAGGTTGCACTCACCTGATGAGCAGTATTACATATTGACAAGGGTATTACCAATGCAAATATTGACAGAACGATGACTTCACTGAAAGAGGAAACATATGAGCAGACTGTTCTCATCGGCTCGTCAGACAAGTTTTTTTTTACCCCTGAGCTGTGAAACCGTGGCAACAGAATATCAGTGTCTAATGAATTACAGCAACTAAAATATGAAAAGTTCAATCATTTGCACCCATAAAAAGGCATATTGATTAGGTTTTGTATGTTTTAAATAATTAGAAATACTTATTAGCAAATTTTTTTGATGATTTTTGTTTTTATTTCTATACAAACGTTCAATTATACGTGATTATACGTGTTTTCATTTTGAGTATATTGTCAGTCTGTTTTCTGAATGATGATCTCCGGGTCATAAAGGGTCGTTTTTCCAAATCGAGCCACATGATCCGCTGCTCTTTGTGTTCTTTCTGGGGGACTCCTTTCACCGGGCTGAGCAGCAAAAAGCCTTGTATCCACTTTCATGGGAACTCCTGGAAACCACACCAAGCAGAATGTTCAGGTCAGCTTCAGATCTGCTGGTTAGAAATGTGTCACAGAAACAGGCGACATGAGAAGATTTAATGTCTGAAAAATAGAATGTCACCTTCCTCGTGCACTTCTCAGATCGCCCGGGCTGTCACTGGGCGGAGGATCTTCACACACACGACACTTCCTCCTCTACTCACACACAATGTCACACCCTCTTTAGATTAGATCACTTTTACAATTAAAATGCAACATTTGTTTGTTTATTTTATTTTTCTCAGTCATTCAGGTCAGAGTAATCCTGCTGAATAATAATAATAATAAAAATAACAATTACAACAGCAACAACAACAATACTACTACTTCTAATAATAATAATTATCATTATGATAATAATAATAATAATAATAATAATAAAAATAACAATTACAACAGCAACAACAACAATACTACTACTAATAATAATAATAATTATCATTATGATAATAATAATAATAATAATAATAATAATAATAATAATAATAATAATGATGATGATGATGATGATGATGATGGAGTACCGCAGGGATCTATTCTTGGCCCTGTTCTGTTCTCTATTTGCTGCCATTAGGCATGTTGTTCCATACACACAAGATGAGTTTTCACTTACATGCAGCTGATATCCAGGCCTATGCTCCCCTGAAACATGGTGCATCATCGGTCCATCCGTTATTGAAGGTCAAAGCTTGGTTGGATCGCAATTTCCTCAGTCGTAATAATGACAAAACTGAGGTTTATCTCTTCAGCCCAAATGATATATGTTTAAATTTGCCCCATTTAGGAAGTAGGTCATTTCTAATCTGGGAGTAAAAATGGACAACGGTCTCACTCTAGAAAAGACACATAAACACGACTGTCAGATCCTGTTTTTTTAAACGCATCTCAAGATTAGGTCTGTTTCATCGAGGGCTCATCTGGAAACTGTCATCCGTGCGTTTGCGACCTCACATCAGGACCACTGTAATTCCCTGCTTGCAAGGCTAAGCCAGGCCTCCATCCTAGACTGCAGATGGTCCAGAAGTATACAGCTAGATTCTTGACAAGCACCAAGTGGAGATGGCACATCAGCCCGGTCTTGACGTTGGCACCCTGGTTTGATAAAGACTTTAGAATTTATTGCATTCGTTTTTAAAGCGCTGCGTGAAACTTCTCCTTCATATCTTTCCGAGTTGTTGTGCTTGTATGAGCATCCTCACACACTCCGGTCGACCAATCAGCTCCTGCTGGTCATTCCGACAGCAAGAGAGAATTGAAGAGGGAACTGAGCTTCAGCGGTTGTGGTCCATAGGCTGTGGAATGAGTTGCCATTGACCATTAGAATGGCTCCCTCAGCTGAGATGTTTAAAAACAGGCACTAGCTTTCATGCAGATCAGATCACCCCCCCCCCCCCCCCCCCCCCAGTCACTCACATGTAAACACAGGCTGCATTGTGTTTGCCAGGATCACACAATGCACCTGTTGATTTCGTGGCATCGTATCCCCTGTCACAGTCTGTAATCTGCCTCTGCTACCATGAAATGATGAAGACGTGGTGATATATCACGGATACCATCATTCATGTTGGTTCTTGCATACATTTTTCCTTTTTGAGAGGGAAAAAAAATCAAAAGTAAGTTAAAGTAATGGTTAGTAAATTAACAATATGATGATGATAAAGATCATGAGTCTATAGCTGGGCAGAGGGGGATGAATTTAGTTTTTGTCGCTTTTCACAGCAAATCAGTGTCAGTGATTGAGTGTCCTTACATGTGCATGTGTGTGTGTGTGTGTCTATGTTTGTACTCACACACACACACACACACACACACACACACACACACACACACACACACACACACACACACACACACACCTATACTCAAACACAAACAGTCTGAGAAGATGGGGTGCCTGAGCACACGGCTGAATTACATCAGCAGCATGATTAGTTTCGTAACCCGACGTGAGCCTCACAGCCATCTGTCTCCCCGTCTTCACCTCCATCTCTGCTCTTAATTGTTCTCTCTCTCTCTCTGGAGGAGGAAGCGCTGCTTGGCATCGATTAGGCAGTGAGGAAGCATCTCTCTTCCTTGAAAACACACTCCTGCCTGCCATGCAAAGTATGGAAACAGCCTGGGACTGATTAGGCAGCAGAGCGTTAAAAGTGAGCTTGACTGGCATGTTTAGGGAGGCTTTTTGGCAATGGGGTAGAAAATAATTAGATCATGGTGAAATCCTGAGTTTTACTCAGATGTCAAGCAGGTGGGAAAGGATGTGTCTGTTTATTTTAAAGCATGCAATCCAGAGCAAACGTATTGCCTGTGTTATGATTTTAGAATATCCTGATCCCTTATTTGTGTGGGAATCATTTTTAGAGAAGGAAATGGTCACTAATAGGTCATTGGGCCATTTGTGTTTCACAATAAACAAAGGTTAACGTTATTTTTACGTTTCTTTAAGAAAAACTGATGCCATGTGACCTGTCCACACTTCCCTCTCCCGTCATGGACCTGGAGGAGGTCTGCTCTAAGAAGATGAACCGCAGAGCGAAAGTGATAAAGGAGCTCGTGCAAACGGAAAAGGACTACCTCACTGACTTGGAGCTGTGCATCCGAGAAGTGGTCCAGCCTCTACGAAATCTACAGGTATGTACAGATACGTCTAACATGGCTTATTTAAATCATATTAAAAGTTCACAGTTAGTGCAACTGGACAGAAAAACTGAGAAGAATGTACCTTAAGCTACAAAAGAGGCATTCAAATGCTTTTTATTCTGAATCAGTTCCAATAAAACTGCAGAGGCAGCTGTATTTATATAGCGCATTTCACACACAGAAACAATTCAAGGTGATTTCCAGGAGCAAGATTAGCAAGAACAAAAAAAAACATTACAATCAAATTTAAAATACACAAATAAAATGACATGTAAGAATAAGATAAAAAGGCAGAGCAGTTACAGTGCAGAAGGTGCTGCACAAGAAAACTTCATTCAAAAGCAGATGAATACATGAAAGCTTTCAATTTTGATTTAAAAGCTTCACCCTGTTTGGTTCTGACCCGGGGTTCTACCAGCTGGCTACTTAGGATCTCAGAGCCCTGCTGGGCGTAGATACAGGAAGGAGATCTGACATGTATTCTGGCCCCAGTCCACTGAGTGATTTATAAACTAGTAGTAGCACTTTGAAATGGATTCTGTAGTTCACCGGTGGCCAGTACAGAGATTTAAGAACAGGAGTGATGTGCTCGGTTCTCTTGGTTCTTGTTAAGACTCTTGCAGCAGTGTTCTGAATGAGCTGCAGTAGCTTCACAGCTTTTTAAAGAAAACCAGACAAAAGACCGTTGCAATAGTCCAGCCTGCTGGAGATGAACGAGCTTCTCCACATCATGTCTGGACATGAAACTTTTTGAACAAGTATTTTTCATTCTGATACCTGGAGGATTAATGGGACACCTACGGGTTTGGGACTGGAGCAGACAAACAGCAGCACTTTCAAATATTCTTCTAAATTTGTCCACACACAACACTTTTCTTCCGTTTCCTCGTCCTTTTCTCAGGTTGTGGATGTCGATCGAATTTTCACCAACATGGAGACCGTGTGTGAGGTTTCTGCAGCACTTCTTCACAGACTGAATGAGGCCATGGCCGACCCTGACCCAGAAGCGGTTGTTATAGGTGTGCTTTGTTTTTCCAGGTTTACGGCTGTTAACTGTCTCTTTTCATGTCAACAAACATTTTATTTATTCCGATTTGAAGGTGAAGTATTCATCCAGGCCAAGGCAGCTTTAGAAGATGTGTATAAGATTTACTGTTATCACCACGACGATGCCAACATGTCGCTCAAATCCTACGAGAAAGACGAACAAATCAAGCAGCATTTCACTGCATGTGTATTAGCTCTAAAGTGAGTCACACCCCCTTCCATCACCCAGTCATTTACGTCCCATAAACCAGAGAGAACTATCCATATCTGTAATGTTTTCTTCTGTGTTGCAGAAAAATATACGACAAAGAGTAAGTACGATGTTTCCTCGCAAAATTTCGCTGTTTTGTTTAATTCGTTGACCAAAAAAAGGTTTCTCCGCAGATGTAAACCTAATTTGTTGGATATGGGCTCCTTGATCATCAAACCCGTGCAGAGGATCATGAAGTACCCGCTGCTGCTCGGAGAGCTCTGGCAGGCCACACCAGAGGACCACCCCGACTATCTTCCTCTGCAGGAGGCGCTGACCGCTGCTAAGATCATCAACGTCAACATCAACGAGTTCAAGAGGAGAAAGGACATAGGTGTGGCTTCTGATTTAGATCATTTATCGTTCAAACGTGTCATTTCTGTCTCGTTTAATTTTGCGTCACTGCTGCTCATCAGTAATGAAGTACAAAAGGTTAGAGGACGAAGGCACGCTAAGGGGCAAACTGAACAAGCTGAACATCCACTCGATCCGGAAGAAAGGAGACAGGTTTGCTGGTTACCTCAAGATTCTCACCGGAGTCGAGTCCCAGGTAAACTGTAGCTGCACAGAAATGTCTCCCAGCGAGGTTCTGAATGAGAAACAAAACCCCAGTTGCACTGCAAACACTGATTTTCAAGAAAGTCTGTAGTCTTTAAAGAAAATGTGGTTCTTGTCTGCACATCAGCACTACCTAAAATAAGGTAAATATTCCTCAGTGTAATTATATTTTTTATTTAGATTTTAAAAAATTGTCAAAAGTTGCTTGATTAGAATTCTTAGCAAAACAATCTGCTGTTAAATTAGCTAGTTTTAAGAATATTTACTTTATTTCAAGTAGAGCTGTTTTTTGCAGAAACGATTGTTTTTGGACTACAAATGTAATAAAATGTCTGAAAACAAGCCTTTTTTTTACTGAAGTTTTATTTTATTTTTTTGCGGTGTAGTGGTGGAGCTGTGTAACTGACGTGTTATTTATTTCTGAAGGTGAGAGATGAAGTGTTTGACAGAGAAGAGAAACTCTTCAGAAGTCTGGAGAAAGCAGTCAGGCTGCTGGCCAAAAACGTCCACTGCTACATGCAGCACTCTCAGGTGAGTTCCCTTCACCTGGGTTTTCAGAAGCAACCGTTTATGGGAGTTTATTTTTTAATTATTTATCCCAAATAAATGCTGCAACAGCAACATTTTATGGTGTATCAAGGTGCGGGTCACAGGCTCTTTAATGCTCTTTAAACAGTTTTTCCAACAGCTTCCTGTGCTGATCTGACATCAGTGTGTTGCAGATTTACATACGTTTATGGTCCTTTTCCTCCAGGAAACACAAACTTATAAAGTTTAATCACAATCTGGTTGAAACATATTCATCCCATCACAGCCCTTTAGATGCTTTCTCTTCCTTTTTTTAGAATGAGGGATGATGTGTTGCTTTTTGAGATCTTTTAGCCCACTTCCTGTCATCATACAGCTTCTACTGAAGCAAATCCTTACTTCTGCTGCAGGGCTGGCAGTGACAGGACTGAGTGTGGAGGAATTGGAATCAGGAACACAAATGATGATATTAATCATAGCTGAGGATGCTTAAATTTTTTAATATAATTTTTTAACGAAATCATCATTTGAAAACTACATTTAGCATTTAATTGTGTTATTTTTACCTGATATTGAAATGTATTTGATGATCTGAAACATTTAATGTGAAAGTGTGTAGCTTCCTGGTGCTAGGTGGCAGCACATACATTTCAGGGTAGTTATACACCATATCACAGTCTAGGGATGGGTACCTTTGACATTTGAATCGATTCGGTACTAATTCCCGGTACCTACGAATCGATACCGGTACTTAACGGTACCTGTTTTCGATACTTTTGAGTGTTTAATATTTTAATTCTCTTCTATAATTAAATATATATTTTTCTCAATATATAACCATATTTGATAAATATCACGATAAATAACATACAACTGTTTGTATTTTAACATCGTCCTTGTAGTTTTATAAGCTGATAATTAAACTGAAGCAAACATCTTTACTGTGAACTAAATTTACTGTGTATCTTCATTCCTTTTGCCGTCCATTTTCAATTGATTTTTCCTACTGGGAAGTTAGAATTTCCGAGGAGAAAGCGAACGCACCATTAGCTGATAACAATGGTGGCAATGGAAGCTAACATATCAAGCTAACGTTATCTTAAACAGCTTATTTAGCTGCTGGAGCAGATTAAAATGATGATGCCTCACACTTAGATTGTTGTCACTGGTTTCATCTTCACCCAATCACCCGTCGCATTTAGTAAAGTGAAGCCAAACTTTAGAGCGCGTTCATGTTCTTCTAGTCGGAAATTCGGAGTTCCGAGGAGAAAGCGAACGCACCATTAGCGGAACAGAAGCTAACATATCAAGCTAACGTTATCTTAAACATTTTATTTACCTACCGGAGCAGATTAAGATGAGGATGTCTCACTTAGATCGTTGTCGCTGGTTTCATCATCACCCAGTGATCACCCATCACATTTAGTAAAGTGGACCCAAGATTTAGCGTGCGTTCTTTCTACCATGCTGCTCTGTTTACAACTGGCTCGCAGCGACCGACGACATTACCCTCTTGCGTGAGTTTAGCAGTTTTGTTATTAAATTTGTGTTTCTTACTGTCTGAATGTTTTGGAACACGGTAAAGTAACTTCCTTAAGTTGTAGATCCAGCCAATCATCTAGTGTGATGTCATCAACAGGCGCAGGACCCAGAGCTGGCCAGAAGTAAACATGGCATCCCCCAAAGATGCTAGAACCCTATGTACCCAATCTTTATGGTTATATGGCACAAAGCCACCAATATTTTTCAACAACTGGACATCATTTTATTCATTTTCAACATTTCAGTGGATATTTTCAGAGATTAATAGTAAAAACTACACATTGTCTCTTTAAAGGTGACAAAACAGCAAGACACATGTCACATTTATGTGACTCCTGTGGTAAATAATGTGAATCAGATGATGTTTTATAGCAAACTTAGGAGCATAAAATGGATGTGATCTTGGTTACTGGACTTTGGGACATTTACTCTGATATTCTGGATCAGATTTAAACTCAAACATGATTAAACAGGGTTTCAAATCTGTCATCCGCCCTACCAGGAAGCACATTTCCAAACAAAACAAATGAAAAACCTGGAAAATCTATTATACTTCAAGATATACTTCTGAAGTTGAGTTTTCCAAACTTCTGTGTAGGAGATGGTGTCTGTTGCTGTCCAGAACGCGAAGGAACTGGAAAACATTATCCTCGATCCGAGTAAAAACGACACGAATGGTTCATCTCACAACAATGGCAATGATCCTTATAAGCACTTTGTAAGTATGACCTCTTAAATCTGATCAACATGTTGGTTTCAGGTCTGCTTTTGATTTCAAGATTTTTCCTAATAAACTATAATTCCATCATTTGTTGTCATAAGATGATCTTAGTTTAAAACTCCAAAAGCTCATGTCGGGGCTTTAATTTGCTTTGCTCATCTGTGCCTCCCTGACGTCCTGTTACCATGATTCATCTGCCGCTATGCCAACAACCCCTCCTCTGGCCCACTGACCTGCTGAGTTTCACCAACTACTTCCTCATAAGATGGTCTGATCAGACGGACATGAAAGCATCTTTATTCTAAGAAAAAACAAAACAAATGAAGTAGTTCATACTTTTCGTGAAAACCCTAAAAACGCACAGATCAGCTGAAGCTGATAAGGGTTGTAAAAGGACTTTCACTGAGTGTCAGAAAGTTCTTGTTGATTTTTTCTTTCCAGAGAGACAGGATGGAGCGTTTGGTCTTGGCCCCGTTGTCCAGCCTGCAGGGCATGTTCACGGCCCCCCAGAAACTCATCCAGAAGCGTTACGACAAACTGCTCGATTACTGCAGCCGTCTCGAGCGATCGTCCTCCTCTCTTTCTACAACTTCTGCCTCCTCTTCACCGTCAGAAGCCCCTCCTGGTCCTGCCAAGAGGGACTATGAAGCTATAAATGCGTTGCTAGTGGAGGAGCTACAGAGGTTCAACATGGCTGCTTATATCATCCTGAGTAACTGTGTGTTGTGTTTGGTGACCCTGCTCAGAGCGCTGATGGGTAAAGCGTTGGTTGGTGCTCCATCTGTCCATCAACTTCCGGTGAGAATCCAACATGAAACAGTAAAGTTAAGGACTGGTCCCCTTAATAAGCTCTGGTCATTTCTGTCCTTTCAGCCTCCATTGTCCAACATCGCTGAAGTGCAGAACAGCATCATGGATGAGCTGAACAACCTGACGTTTGTCAAAGACAACGCTCAGAAGCTGATTGAGCGAAAAGTCAGCTTTGAGAAACGAGAAAAGAAAACAGCAGTAAGACAAGAGGGGAAAAAACATAGATGCAATAATTCAAATTTCAGTATGCAATCAGAAATCCTATGGCAGCATGTTTTCATCGTTTCTCTAGTCCAACACACTAGATTCAGTGGTTGAATCACCTGTAGAGCAACTCATCGAGCTCTGCACAGGTGAAATCAGGTTCTTTGAAGTCGGGTCCAAAACGTGCTGGATACCGGCCCTCAAGGCCCACAGTTGAATAGACCTGCCGTATGGGAACACAAGTAGTTAACGTTGAAGGGGACGTGTTATGTAAAACTTAGATTTTGCATATTTTTCTGCAAACGCAAAAAAATAAAAGTCCATCATGTGACTAAAACAAGCTGTTTCAAAAGTCCCCATTTGTGATGTCACAAACGGGCAAATTAGAATAGAACCACCTCTCACATGCAAAAGAGCTGCTGCTAGAGAAGCAGTGGCCCTACTGCAAAATCTTCCTATAGATCGGAGCTTCTCAGCTTACAGCAGCCTGAGTGGGTATCGAGTGAGTGTGGCCAGTTCCAGCTTGTTTTTTACGGAGACAGAGCCCTGAAAAGACATTCTGGTAGGCACGGAAACTTTCAAGAATAAAATAGCTGAAATTATTTTATGTGACAGAGATTTAGTGCTAAGAAACGTATTTTGTATCAACCATGAAACGGTAACACTTTACAATAAGGGTCCCTTTATTAATATTCCCGATATTAACTATTAAATGTCCTTAAGGTTGAGACAAAGGGCTGGGGAAGGGTGTGCGTATGTGTCTGCTTAGTAGTGCATTACATAATATTAACATTGAGAATAAGCAGTTGTTAATACTTTATTTATTAGTTTATTAATGCTTAACAATGTACTAAGTAACGTTAATAAATGGGCCCTTATTGTAAAGTGTTACCCGTACAACTATTAACTTTAAAAAAAGGTCATAACATGCCTTCTTTAGTCTTTTTTTATTTTTTCATGACCCATTATCCAGAAAAAACTACCTTCTAAGAATCTCATAGCTGAGATAAATCTGTTCCATTCATCTATTTTGATCTGGATCAGTTTCAACCCTTTCCTGCAGGATGCTCTTTTACCTCTAACTCTCCACACTGATCAAATTTCTAACAATAATTTGTCAACATAAGCACACTTTCAACACTTACGCCAGCATTCCTTTGTCCTTCTCTGTCCTCCAGGTGCCAGAGGTGCAGCATCAGACGGAGGAGCAGCGCTCCTGGCTTCTATCAGAATACCCGCTGAGCCGCCTTTACCAGCTAAAGAGGAAGTGCAATGGCTGCCAGGAGCAGGACCTCAGCCTGCTGGAGGGAGAGCTGGTTGCTCTTTTGGAGGAAAAAGACCCACTGGGCAGCAGCAGTCGCTGGCTGGTTGACACTGGAGGCAAGTGTGTGTGTGTGTGTGTGTGTGTGTGTGTGTGTGTGTGTGTGTGTGTGTGTGTGTGTGTGTTTCAGAGCAAAGCCAGAGGCCCCTATTCATCAGCTGAATTAAACGATCAGAGTGGATCACCTGCAGCTGTGGCTGCTCGTACTCCTCTGCGATAAACCCTGCCTGCTCTTAGATGACTGAATCTCAGTTTCACACACTCAACTAAACTTTCTAACAAGTCAGCACACAAGATCGAGTCCCAGGAGCCGCTGCAGCGTCATGGTTGCCGCTGCCTCTGGAGTCGGTTGCTCCACAACAGGACCAACCTTCTAACCGCTCCATCCCTTCTTTACATCTAACAGAATCAGCTGATCATGCAGTGTTTAGCTGGAACAAATCACTTAATGTTTTAATTGGTAAACAGAAGCTGGGCGTTCAGATCCAAGCGCAACTTCTTTTCATGTGAAATGCATAAAAAATGCACATATGTTTTTGGAATGCAAAAAATGCATCTTTAGGTTCATTAAATGTAATAAAGTGTATCAAAAATATTATTTTCCTAATAAATGATCTCTCCTTGCCTGAGTTAGGTGCCCAAGGCTACATCTACTCCACATTCCTGAAACAGTACAACCCCCTGAGGGACTCCCAGCGGTCAAGCCAGAAGTCCAATGAGCAGCAGCAACAGCAGCAGCAGCCGCCTCCTGCCATGGCTGACGAAGACTTTGATGACCTCAGCCTGTTTGTGTTAGGAAGCGGCAGCAGCAGCCTGTGGAGCGTTAGCCTCAAAACCAGCGACAGCAGCTCGACCCTCTCCAGTCTGCAGGGAGAGCTGGAGAGCGGAGAGGAGTCTGTGGATCCGGTGGAAACAGACAGTCAGCAGGTGTGTGTGTTTTTAGTTTAAACCGTTCTGTCACCAAATGGATGGCAGGTCAGAATCATTTATTGTTTAGCTGTTTAAAGGAGAGAGAAAGGTCAGACAACTGATCATTCTTATTCCCTTTCATGAGTTTGTTTTAATCTTAAAACAACACTAAATAAGTTCCCCACTGCTCCCCCTACTTGATGAAAAAGGGAATTGCAACTGTTGTAAGCAACCATGCTGAGGCCGGCTGTAGCTAGCGCCAGCTGATACTAAAATAAGCCTCAAAATAAAAAGATATACTCTGTTGGACAAAAAAAAAATTGTATGACTTAAGCCGGGCGTACACTGTGCGATTTTTTCACTTTTTTGAGCCGATTTTCCAGTCGTGCGAGAATCCACGAGATCGGGGCGAGTTTTGCGCCGAGCGTGGTGTAGTGTACAGGGGGTTACGAGAGGCGATTAACACCACGTGACCAGCTACCGATCAGCAATCGTGAGCTCGCACGGACTTCTGGCGTGTTTAATATTTTGCTCGTCCCTCGTGAGGGTATCGCACTGTTGAAGCGGCACTGCGAGCAGCTACGACCCAAAAAGTATCAGAACCGCTCACGGCGCATGCGCAATCCTGCATCAACACCGCTCGCCCGCTATTTCCCTAATAACACACGTTGTTCATTTTTATTTCTACACGTTTTTTTACTCACAAAGACTGTCAAGAAAGCGTGTTTGTCGTGTTCATGTCAAACTAAACTGATCACAAAACACAGATTTACTTTCTTTATTTCGTTTTCCTCATCCAACCCCGATAAATCCCCGAGTGTCCTCCTGCAGCACTCCCGAAGGACAACAGGCAAAACAAGACAAAAAAGTCTGACGTGTTGAGTAAAAACTGTTATTTTTAGCATATTTTTTAAGGCCAACGTGTTGCTACCAGACGTACAGTGTGAGCAGTCAGATCGCATCCGAGAACTGGGTCGTACAGTCTGAGCACATGACTCGTGAGATCTGTCCTGCGAGGAAGTCGTACAGTTTGAGCAGAAGCCAAGTGTTACAAGTGAAAAAGTCGCACAGTGTACGCCCGGCTTCACAAGTCCAGTAGCAACAAAGCTAGGTCATCACCAGTCTGTGATTTTGAAGCTTCATTTAGCTCCCTCATACTAGTGTAGGCCACGCCGGTGTTCCCTCTAGCTTTAGCTCTTTACTTCACCTCCAAAGACATTACTCTCTTACTTTTACTTCCAGGCTCTACCATGATGTCAGGGAACTGAAAAAAAGCTAACTGCTAGCTTTTAAATTAGCTATCAACACAGTTAACAGCTATTGGCCCAATCCCAAAATTCCACACTTGCGCCATTCAATTGCGCGACCCTGGCTATGGGTGCGAGTGCATAGAGTGTCCCGATTCTCAAGTGCGGAAGTTGACCACGCCCCTTTTGCACCCCTGATCTGCACTTCGCCCAAGTCCGGATCAAGTCCCATAATCCATTGCTGTGGCAGAAAAGGCTCAAATGCCTTTTCTGAAAATAAGTATTTTCTAATGAAAGTCATTCATTTTAGGAAGATTAATTGATGCTCTGAATGTTTTAGACAAAGCAGTAATGAACATAAATGTATTTCAAATAATTGTTTGGTTGTTCACTCGAAAGTTGCTAATAAAGATTATTTAAAAAGGTAGCACAGTGACCAGCATCCCGGCATGTGTTGCAGTCGATGATGCAGCGCTCCCTGTCCCAGTTCGGCAATTATTTGCACACTTGTGCACCACGCACTCAAAGCCCTTCTGCGCACTTCCTCCAAGTGCACTTCACAGAAGACCGTAGGGCACAGTGCGAGTATTGGGATTGGGCCAGTGTGGTAAAGCAGGTAGAGACCTCCCACTAGTGTGCCTACCTGAACCATTAAAGTGCAGTTTCTGGTCAGCAGACAGCTTCAGAGCGCTGTCCCATGAGAACTTACTCAAGAACCACTGAAACCAGGTTGAAAACAATAGCTTAAAATGTTCAAAACGCTTTAGTGTTGCTTTAATTCACAAAGTTTCAGCTGACAGTAACCAGCAAGTGCTGTGTTTTATTTTATTTGCATGAAGTTGATCAACAGTGCCATCTTGTGGACTTACAGAACAGTACCCTACCTGAGTAGGAGAGAAAATGAAGTTGATGGCTGAAAGTCTTAGCCTTTCATTCCATCTGTATTCTGTCTGTTTCTATAGTATTATGCGGTGTATGCATTTCAAGCCCGCTGCAACCAGGAGTTGTCCCTGCAGGAGTACCAGCACGTCCGCATACTCAAGTTCTGTGACCTTGGAGGCAACAAAGAGTGGTGGTTAGCAGAGGCCAACGGGCAAAAAGGATACGTTCCTGCTAACTACCTCGGCAGGATGTCCTACGCTTAAACTCAGGACGTCAGGGTAAACCTTTCACACCACTTCGGGTACAAAGGCAGAAAATTATTCTGAAGGAATGTGTTATTTTTTCAGCAAAAATTGCAACTGAATATTTATTTTCATGCAGAGACCAGTTTCTGGTTTTTGTTTGTAAAATGTTAATTTTGAATTTCACACATTTTTTCAAGGCTATACAACCCACCCAGTGCGGTAGCTTTTCCACGCTAATATGTAAAGTAGGATCTCAGGAGGTCCACATTTCTGTTGATGATGACAATTTGGGCTTAAAAAGTTTACATCATTACATCACCGATGACAGTTTTGAACAGTGTGGTGATAATAAGCACACCAGGCTATTTAAATAGGATCCACAAATGTTAAAAATATAAAATTAGAATGGCTTGAATGACAAGACAAATTTTCCAAATTCTGCTGTTAGACACACACCTATCACCAAAAACATACCTTTATTTTAAATATCTGTGGTTCCAGTTTGTGTTTGGTCTGTTTGTTTTGTACATTTAGATGTGTTGATTGTTATCTTTTGTAAAAGCTGTGATTTTGCATTCAGCGGTTCTTAAAAGGAGAAAGAAGGAAGAGTTGCAATCCCATAATCACATGTGAACGCACCAGTGAAGGAGACATTGCTTGGTGTGTGTGTGTGTGTGTGTGTGTGTGTGTGTGTGTGTGTGTGTGTGTGTGTGTGTGTGTGTTCTCCATCCCCAGTGAGTCGTGGAGGATGCTGCTTATACTGAGCCAGGATTCTCTGGAGGTTTCTTCCTGTTAAAAGGGAGTTTTCCTCTCCACTGTCGCTAAATGCTTTCTTAGTATGAGGATTGCTGTATAGTCACTGACACTAGTCAGTGACTTGATGCAATTTGCTGGGTTCCTTATATAGGAAACATTTTTTTTCTGATTGGCTTAATGAACTGACCTGAATTGGAAAGTTTATTATGTGAAGTGCCTTGAGACGACTCTTGTCGTGATTTGGCGCTTTATAAATAAATTGAATTGAATTGTTGCAATAACAATGTTGAAGAAAATATGGAAAGATTAAGGATAGAGGATTCTGCCTAACAAGTCATTTTTATTTGACTTATATGAAGTAAATGTGTTTGTTACCATTAACATTTTCAATAATGGTTTCAACGAGACGCTCGGTTCTTATTAAAATTCCCCCGTTTCTCGTTTTTAATTAGCTTTATTAATTACAAAGCTGATCAACAAGGGTTCTTTAAGAATGGATTCGTTTTTGCCTCAAGTTTTATTATCTACGTCAAATTAGAAATAAACATTTTAAGATTTATTGGAAAAATTATGAGTTCCTTTCAATTATCTTTGAATTTAGACGATTCAGATGAGCTTCTTTCAGGTAGGGCTGGACGATATAGAAAAAAAGCCTATTGATAAAAATGTAGAAAACATATTTTAAGTGCGTCCCTGGTCATTTGAGGTCATTAACTTATGAAAAAACAAGCTGGTTGTGTTACCAAACAGGATTTTTAATCGATTCTCTGCAGATTTTTCTATTGACCATGGTGTCTTTGTTTTCAGACTTGTAAAAACCAAATTATTGCCGTGGTAGTGGAGTACTGTAAACTTGCTGTCTGTTTGGTTTGAGAGGGGCGGGGCTTGGTGACGAGCGTGCCTGGGTCTGTGTTTTGATTGGTTGGGAGTAAGTACTGACTCTAGTTCGACGCTACCTGATAGGCTATAATAAAAAAAGAAAGGAAACTTTTAATTGACCAATTTTTTCTCATCGCGCCGTACGTCTATCGATCTATATATTTCATTATCGAATTATTGTCCAGCCCTACTTTCAGGATTAAAACGTGCCTTTCATTACAACACTTGGTTTGTGAATATAAAACTGACCTTCTCCTAATGTTATTATATGGTCTCATGTCGATTGTGAAGCTGTTTAGTTTTTACATGAATGTTTCCAATGATTTGGTATGAATGTAGGTGAAATAACCCTCGTCTCAAATGCCAGTGCACTTTCCTGAGCACTTTTTGTACTTCAGTGTTGTTTATATCAATGAAGTGATGCAATCATGAAGATAATCTAATATGTGAACTGATTCATAGAGATTTTATAAGTGTGATTACAAATATGAGAAGATTTATATAAAAGTTTTCTATAAAAACATACGTTTATTCTGTATTTATCCTGACAAATGTCTATCGGTTACATCATCAATAAACTCAACTTTTGTGATGTGACTGTTCTTTTGGGATGTATCGACTCACATGCTGGTTTCTGTGTAAGAAGAGAATATTTCATGACAGGATTGATAAAAGTGACACTTCTTCCACTGGTAAAGCTTGTACGGAGAAAAGAGGCACAGAGTCCAGCAGCCTTTACACAAAGAAAACAAATGTTCAAGTATTGGACTGGATGATGCTGCTCCATGTGAAGACGCCTTCTGGCACCGATTCCTCTTACGTATGCTCACTTCCTCCTCCTTATTTGGTCATTTCTTAAGTTTCTTCTGTGCAGCTTTCTTCTTGACCAGCTGCAAACGTTTCATGGCGTTCAGCTGGGACTCTTGAGAAGTCGGTGCTTTGTCCGCCGGCGCAGCCTTTGACCCATTCCCGTTGTTCCCATTGCCCCCTCCGTTGCTTCCTCCGTTCCCTCCGGTCTGGGAGCTACCCGGAGAACCGGCGCCAGTTGACACAGAGCCTTTCCCCTGGTTGTCGCCGCTCGATGAACGGTTGAGCGACTGCTTACCCAGGGTCAAAGGTGGAGGAGGTTTCAGAGTTACCTGACTGGAGCCATTTCCGTTGTTGTTCCCAGCAGCTTTTGCACTACCGAGTCCTGACTTGGCTCCAGTGAGCCCTGGCAGCCCGGCAGGTTTCTGAGCGGGAGCTGCCATGCTCTTGCTGCTCCCACTCGGGCCTGAGGAAGCCAGTTTGGAGGTAGCAGGAAGGGATGGGTTGGTTTTGGCTCCAAACGCGGCCCAGCCTGTGAGGCCGCTGCCCGAGGACGAGGCGCCGCTGTTGGTGGGGTTGGCTAAAGTGGCAGGTGGCTGCACCCAATCAGGAAGGGAGAAACCAAATGAGCAGGAATGAGTCTGCAATTTTATACGTAATGTTTTTGAATTCATAACTAATATTTAGGGTTTCTAAATTCTACTAATGCTTTCTTTTAAGGTGGTTTTATAGCAGGAAATAGCTGGTTACTAAAAGGCTTTTAAAAGGTGATAAAACTGATTTCATGGTACGGTACTTTGGGTTAGTATTTTAATTTCTATTTTATTAACTTAAAACAAATGTATTCTAATTGGTAAATGACTCCTCCTTGAACCGTCACCTTATCGTGGTGGAGGAGTTTGAGTGCCCTAATGATCCTAGGAGCTATGTTGTCTGGGGCACTTAGTGCCCCTGGTAGGGTCTCCCATGACAAATTGGTCTTAGGTGAAGGGTGAGACAAAGAACGGTTCGAAGGATCTTTCATGGCGGTTAAAACGAAGAGTCGGAGTACCCGGCCCGGAGGGTTACCGGGGTCCCACCCTGGAGCCAGGCCTGGGGTTGGGGCCCGTGAGCGAGCGCCTGGTGGCCGGGCTTTCGCCCATGGGGCCCGGCCGGGCCCAGCCCGAACCGGATACATGGGCTCGTCCAACTGTGGACCCACCACCCGCAGGAGGAACATGAAGGGTCCGGTGCAATGCGAATCGGGTGGCAGACCAAGGCGGGAGCCTTGGCGGTCCAATCCCCGGACAAGAAAACTAGTTTTTGGGACATGGAACGTCACCTCGCTGGCGGGGAAGGAGCCGGAGCTTGTGGCAGAGGTTGAGCGGTACCGGCTAGATATAGTCGGACTCACCTCGACACATTGCATTGGCTCTGGAACCCGAGACCTGGAGAGGGGTTGGACACTCTACTTTGCTGGAGTTGCTCCGGGTGAGAGGCGGAGGGCTGGGGTTGGCTTTTTGTTAGCCCCGAGACTCTCTGCCTGTGTGTTGGGGTTTACCCCGGGGGACAAGAGGGTAGCTTCCTTGCGCCTTCGGGTCGGGGAACGGGTCCTGACTGTTGTTTGTGCTTATGGGCCAAATATCAGTTCAGAGTACCCACCCTTTTTGGAGTCCCTGGGACGAGTGCTAGATAGTGCTCCATCAGGGGACTCCATTGTCCTGCTGGGGGACTTCAATGCTCACGTGGGCAATGACAGCTTGACCTGGAGGGGTGTGATTGGGAGGAACGGCCCACCTGATCAGAACTCGAGCGGTGTTTTGTTATTGGACTTCTGTGCAAGCCGCAGTTTGGCCATAACGAACACCATGTTCGAACATAAGGATGCCCATCGGTACACTTGGTACCAGGGCAGCCTAGGTCACAGGTCGATGATAGATTTTGTAGTCGTATCATCTGACCTGCGGCCGTATGTTTTGGACACCCGAGTGAAGAGAGGGGCGGAGCTGTCAACTTATCACCACCTGGTGGTGAGTTGGATCAGATGGCAAGGGAACATGCCGCGTAGACCTGGCAGACCCAAACGCATAGTGAGGGTCTGCTGGGAACGCCTGGCAGAAGAACCTGTCAAGACGGTCTTCAACTCCCACCTCCGGCAGAGCTTTGACCACGTCCCGAGAGCAGTGGGGGACATTGAGTCCGAGTGGGCCTTGTTCCACTCTGCGATTGTTGAGGCGGCTGTTGCTAGCTGTGGTCGTAAGGTGGCCGGTGCCAGTCGTGGTGGCAACCCCCGTACCCGCTGGTGGACACCAGAGGTTCGGGGAGCCGTCAGGCTGAAGAAGGAGGCCTACAGGGCGTGGCTGGTCTGTGGGTCTCCGGAGGCAGCAGACAGGTACCGGATAGCCAAGCGGGGTGCAGCAGTGGCAGTTGCCGAGGCAAAATCTCGGGCGTGGGAGGAGTTTGGTGAGGCCATGGAGAAAGACTATCGATCGGCTCCAAAGAGGTTCTGGCAAACTGTCCGGCGCCTCAGGAGAGGAAGGCAGCAACTCGCTCACACTGTTTACAGTGGGGATGGGGAGCTGCTGACGTCAACTGGGGCTATAGTCGGACGGTGGAAGGAATACTTTGAGGAGCTCCTCAATCCCACCAATGCGCATTCCGAGGAGGAACCAGAGCTGGGAGACCTGGGGATGGACTGTCCGATCTCGGGGGCAGAAGTTGCTGAGGTAGTCAAACAACTACACAGCGGCGGAGCTCCGGGGGCGGATGAGGTTCGTCCTGGGTATCTCAAGGCTATGGATGTTGTAGGGCTGTCATGGTTGACACGTCTCTACAACATTGCGTGGTCATCGGGGGCAGTTCCTAGGGAGTGGCAGACCGGGGTGGTGGTCCCCATCTTTAAGAAGGGTGACCTGAGGGTGTGTTCCAACTATAGGGGGATCACACTCCTCAGCCTCCTTGGAAAGGTCTACTCCAAGGTACTGGAGAGGAGGGTCCGATCGATAGTTGAATCTCAGATTGAGGAGGAGCAATGTGGTTTTCGTCCTGGCCGTGGAACTGCGGACCAGCTCTATACCCTTGCAAGGGTGATGGAGGGGGCATGGGAGTTTGCCCAACCAATCCTCATGTGCTTTGTGGATTTGGAGAAGGCTTATGACCGTGTCCCCAGGGGCACCCTGTGGGGGACGCTCCAGGAGTATGGGGTGGGTGGCTTTCTGTTAAGGGCCATTCAGTCCCTTTACCAGAGGAGCGTGAGTTTGGTCCGCATAGCCGGTAGTAAGTCGGACCTGTTCCCAGTGAGGGTTGGACTCCGCCAGGGCTGCCCTTTGTCACCGGTTCTGTTCATCACTTTTATGGACAGAATTTCTAGACGCAGCCGTGGTGTGGAGTGTGTCGAGTTTGGTGGCAGGAGAATCTCGTCTCTGCTTTTTGCGGATGATGTGGTCCTCCTAGCTTCATCCAGCTCTGACCTTCAGCTCTTGCTGGGTAGGTTCGCGGCCGAATGTGAAGCGGCTGGGATGAGGATCAGCACCTCCAAATCTGAGACCATGGTTCTCAACCGGAAAAGGGTGGCTTGCCACCTCCGGGTCGGGGGAGAGGTCCTACCTCAAGTGGAGGAGTTTAAGTATCTCGGGGTCTTGTTCACGAGTGAGGGTAGGAGGGATCGGGAGATCGACAGGCGGATTGGTTCGGCGTCTGCAGTGATGCGGACGCTGAGCCGATCTGTCGTGGGGAAGAGGGAGCTGAGCCAGAAAGCCAGGCTCTCGATTTACCGGTCGATCTACGTCCCAATCCTCACCTATGGTCATGAGCTTTGGGTAATGACCGAAAGAACGAGATCGCGGATACAAGCGGCCGAAATGAGTTTCCTCCGTAGGGTGGCCGGGCTCAGCCTTAGAGATAGGGTGAGGAGCTCGGACATTCGGGAGGGACACGGAGTAGAACCGCTGCTCCTCCGGATCGAAAGGAGCCAGTTGAGGTGGTTTGGGCATCTGGTCAGGATGCCTCCTGGACGCCTCCCCGGGGAGGTGTTTCGGGCATGTCCTGCCGGCAGAAGGCCCCCGGGTCGACCCAGGACACGTTGGAGAGGTTACATCTCCAATCTGGTCCGGGAACGCCTTGGGGTCCTGCCGGAGGAGCTGGTGGACAAGGCCGGGGAGAGGACGGCCTGGAGCTCCCTAGTTGGGATGCTGCCCCCGCGACCCGGACCCGGATAAGCGGAGGAAGACGAGAGACGAGAGAAATGATCCCTAAAAGGTCTTAAACTAATAAGATTGAATATATTTGACACTAAAACTGCCATATTGTCTGAATCCAAACGCAGAAACAAATCTTCTAAACAATTAAGGAAAGAAAAGGAACTGTTCCTGTTGCTTTTCTTACCTCTAAACCCCTTACTGGTTAGTAGAAACAAGACTGAGGATGTCATTTTTAATTAAAATACTCACACACACCTTCACTTCTGTCCTCTTGAAGGCCTGGAAGGTGCTGGTTGTATCGGTTTTAGCCTTCAGCTCTGTCTTTTTCACCAGCGGGTCTTTAACAACCGGTGCTGAAGATGCAGATGCAGGGGATGGTTTCTGAGGAGGCTTCTGAGCCTGGTCAACAAACAAACAAACAAACAAGTTAGTTCATCATAAAAAAGGTGATGCAGGATCGTGACTTGATTTTCCTCACCATCCGTTTCATTTGCCTGGTGCAACGGGCACAATACCACACAAGCCGTGGGTCATTCACTTCCTTATCAGTCACTTGAGGTTTGTGGCAGTCCTGGTGGTAGAGATTATGACACTCTTGGCACTCCACCAACTGGTTTCCCATGGTCACCGTCATTTGTCTGAGAGAATTAATTATTAAAAAAAAAAAGACTGAATTTCTGCTTAAAATGGTGATCTGATTAATTTGAGGGAATAACATGCTGACAAATCTACACGATTGGCTACTCGTACCTGCAAACCACGCAGGCCAGACCCATTTCCATGGCAAAGTCGTCAGCGTTTGTCTCGTCGTAGTCGTTTATGTTTGGTAGGAGGTCTTTGCTCGTCTGAAATGTGATTGGAGAGGAGCGGTTCTCTTGTTTCTCTAAACGAGGCTTTTTGGGGGGGTCCACTTCGCTCACGTCAACCCTGGCCTGTTTTTCAGCAAAATACAAAAGGAAGTTTGACTAAATCACACAAACAAAAAACACCTGATCACATATTTAAATCGGATTCTGCTTTAAAGCTTTAGAGTTATATAATATGCACTTTTCATTCATTTGTGCACTTTTACTTCCCAATTGAACAGCAACACGACACAGATTACTGGGATCATTAGTAAAAATTGGAAAAATGTCTTCCACACCTTCTCCGATGACCTCTTCTCGCCTTCTTTCTTGCCTTTCTCTGAGCTGGATTTACTACTTCCACCGCTGCTGCCAGAAGAAGAACTTGAAGACTTGGGCTCTTTACTTAAACTCAGCTTTGACACGGATGCCTTTGACACTTCCACCTCCTGAGGACAAAACAATCACACAGAAGGCACAAGCACTTGGTTTTAAAACAATGTCATACGAATGACATTAAAGAGCAAGTCAGCCACCCCCCAAATTTCTTTCTTGCTGATAAACTATATAAATGAGTGTCTAATCATGCTGTAGACACTTGTAGTCAATAACTTGGCACTTTGGTGCATCTTAGATAAATTTAAATAATCTGCCTAAAACTGTCAGTGTTACGTCGTCTTCAGGTAAAAACTCTGCCATTGCTATTGTCTAAGAAGTACATTATGATGTCACAAAGTCATTGTGAGCCTGTGTGTGTATTTGTTAGTGGCTCCACCCCCTCGGTCTGCCAGGTAACAGCATTTGTTGCATTTTTCAAACAGGAAGTGGGAGTGGAGTAAGACTCTGGTAGGGGGTGACTTGCTCTTTAAGGGGATTTCTCTACACTCACCTAAAGGATTATTAAGAACACCACACTAATACGGTGTTTGACCCCCTTTCGCCTTCAGAACTGTCTTAATTGTACGTGGCATTGATTCAACAAGGTGCTGAAAGCATTCTTTAGAAATCTTGGCCCATATTGGTAGGATAGCATCTTGCAGTTGATGGAAGATTTGTGGGATGCACATCCAGGGCACGGAGCTCCCGTTCCACAGATGCTCTATCGGGTTGAGATCTGGTGACTGTGGGGGCCGTTGTAGTACAGTGAACTCATTGTCATGTTCAAGAAACCAGTTTGAAACGACTGGAGCTTTATGACACGGTGCATTATCCTGCTGGAATTAGCCACCAGAGGATGGGTACAAGGTGGTCATGAAGGGATGGACATGGTCAGAAACAATGCTCAGGTAGCCCGTGGCATTTGGGGTTCAGGAGATTGCCTTGACCAGGACCACACCCCAAAATGCATTGAAGCAACCGCCATGTGATTGATTGATTAGATAATTGCATTAAGGAGAAGTTGAACAGGTGTTCCTAATAAGCCTTTAGGTGGGTGTATATGAGAATGAATCATCTTACTTTTTGTGAAGAGCGATAAGAGGAATCGCTGCCTCTAGCAAGGGACTCATCAAGTAGAGCTTTGAGCTTCTCAGCTGAATCTTTGCTCTTGGAATGTAGATAACTCAGTCCTTTTAGGAAGATGGGATCCAGCTCCAAACTGACAGGTCCAGCCATCGCTTCCACTAGAAATCAAACAATAACAATTCACGTAATGCTGTGAATTAGTATCATTTCATCAAAGTAAAAAGAACTGCCGGCGCCTATAAGCCGAGTCCCACCGATCCAACTGCTGTGAATGACTTTAAACATTGGCAAATATTTGGTTTCTGAGTAAAAACAGGAAGACGGACTACAACCACAGAAGCACCGCGGTAGTTACCGAGGTCGCTTTATAATTCTAAAATTGAAGCTCATAATTATCATAAACACAGGCTTACCCGAGACTGGGTGTATTTTCTGTTTTACCGGAATATTTTCTTTCTATTGAACAACGGAAAACTGAGCAACACTTCCGTCGGCGTTTCGTCTTCACATTTGAGTAACCGACAAATATGTCCGGAGTCTGCAAGGGCGGAACGTTTTGCGAAATTTGTATTCGCGTTCGCGTGGTTATTATACTATTTTGGTTATAATAAAATAAGTATTCATCCCACGTATGTTTTCCTTTGCGGTACATATTTTGTACATAGGTGTTACTCTTTCATGAAGAGAGTTTTGAAACGTTTGAGAAGACCGCTGGCGGCGCTGTGGAGCTATGCTAGTGAAAAAACAGCAGAAGAAGAATCACCAAAACACACCAGTCCGCCTGTTTCAGGTAAGTCATTTTTCTTGGGTCATATGTTGAATTTAAGTAATCTAGACGTAAAAGTACCAACAGAGAACACTAAAACAATGATAAAACTAACTGATTCTTTTACTGTCCTTCTAGTTCATTTACAATGAAGCACAACGAGAAAAAAGAGCAACATCTCTCCCTCTTCTTAGAGGTTTGTTCCCAGAACGAGGAACTGCGTCTCCCCCTGCACACGTCCATAGTTATGTTTCTCCTATCATACTGCGAGTGCAAGTCCTTCAAAGTGTTCATGGTTTACACCAGTAGCTGCTCGGACGCTTTCAGGAGCCAGCTCCCAGTGCCTGTTGGTGTCAGCTGGGTCCAGCTGGAGGATCTGCCCCAGCTGGTGAGGAGCTGCCGTCTCCCGGCAGCGGTGGATGAGAGCGGGCGCCTGTGCAGGGCAGGACTAGCCGTGGTGCTCAGGCACATTATCATCAAAACCACTGAGGAAGACCCTTCCAGGAAGGATGTTCTGGAGCTGCTGGGTTTCAAAAAAACCTGCTTGAAGGCCTGTGCGGAGGTCAGTGGGAGACAAGCGTCAGCTTTTGGGTGTCTGGGGAAATCAGGTGTAGAGATCCACTGATATGGGGTTTTCAGATGCTGATGCTGATGCTGATATATGGGGGTCATGGTCAGCTGATGGCCGATATTTGCTACCGATGTTCGCGGCCGATAACTCGACATTTTCCACCTTATTTGCATGCTTAGATGTCACTGACAAAAACATGATGCACAACGTTTCTGAACATGGATCCGTTGTTGAACTCTGAATTTAAACAACTCTTGTATCTTAATTTTTTTTGCACCGCTCGTATTAAAATCAAACATTTAGCCAAAGGTAATCGAACAAATCATAAACTGACCAAGTCTTAAATAAAAACGGGTAAACAAAAAATACTTCAGTTAAGAAGAATGTTTTTAAACAGTTATTAAGCAGATCAGGAACACACACGCACATTTAAATAAAATCCTGCAGCAGCACTGGACTGCCTGTGGCTGTTTCAGTTTTTAAATCGGCCCCTCTAAACGGGTGTATCAGCTGATGCTGATTTATAAAAATATGTCGGCCAACAAATATATTGGTCTATTTCTGACGTGGAGGTGCAATTTTTACATCATAATGTAAAATTGCATTAATAGCATCTTATTGAGTTAAAAACTAAAGGCGAACCTCTCAGTTATTGCAGTTCAGACTCAGAGGCTTTGTGTCCCCTCAAAGGTGATGATGGGAGCTCACATTCTCAATATCTGTAGTTTGAATAAATCAATACAAAGTCAGGCAATAAAAGTTGCAGAGCTGCGTGAGGCAACTTAAAAATATGTCTAAAATCTGATTCATGGTAGGATGCAGAGTGCCAGCATCATGAGTCATGAGGATGATGATCAGATCCTGAAAAGTAAAATATACTTTTGAGCAATCATCAGTACCATCTTACACTGGAAATGGTCTTCAGTGTCTGACTAGTTACATTAATTAATCAGCGGTGACATAAAATGCTGTAGATCATTCACACCAGTGCAGAAGCATATAGAAACAACGAAAGACCCTTCCTGAGTTTCGTAAAGGGCATGGACCATAATGTGATCTATTGTTTCTGTGCAGTTAAAGATCAAGATCAAATCAAAGATACTTTATTGATCCCAGAGGGAAATTAGAGTTTCAGTGCACACAATTCAGAGATTAGACATACATGGGCAAGACACATGACAAGAACTGGTGACTGTGGTCATTCACAACCCTGAGTCGCGCTACCTTAATAGAGATAAGTGGTACATGAGGATAATTGGGGTAAGGTAAAAAAAAAAGGCATAGCAGAGTTAGACCCAGCGGGGAGTAACTCTATTATACAAAAAAAAAAAAAACTCCTCAACATAGAAGCACGAACATCACAGATACAAAACATCAGAGTCCGATGGGGAGGCGGGGTTGGGCGGGATCCTGAATCCTCCAACGGGAGCTGCCATTACGGCGCTCAGCCAGCTGCAGACAATCAGGTTGGAGGGAGAAATGAGGGACAGAGAGCACATTGAGTTTCCTGCAGGTTGCTGACCTCGAAGCAGAAGTCACAATCCGAAGGCGGGGGGGGGGGGGGGGGGGGAGGTCGGGACACAGCATCTGTCAGCATTCCTCCTTTCGTGGGGGTGTGTTGATGGCAGCCTTGGCGTCAGATAAGGATAAACAAGACTTTGTTTAGGGCGGACAGAGATAATTTTCCTCTCTGCCTTGGAGTCTATAAGTGGTCATTCATGTCCACCAGTGATGCCAATTACAGGTGCTGGCCAGTAAATTAGAATATCATCAAAAGGTTGAAAATATTTCAGTAATTCCATTCAAAACGTGAAACTTGTACATTATATTCATGCAATGCACACAGACCAATGTATTTCCAATGTTCATTACATTTAAATTTGATATTCATAAGTGACAACTAATGAAAACTCCAAATTTGGTATCTCAAAAAATTAGAATATTCTGAAAAGGCTGAATATAGAAGACACCTGCTGCCACTCTAATCAGCTGATTTACTCAAAACACCTGCAAAGGCCTTTAAAAGGTCCCTCAGTCTTGTTTTGAAGGCACCACAATCATGGGGAAGACTTCTGACTTAACAGCTGTCCAAAAGACAATCATTGACACCTTGCACAAGGAGGGCAAGACACAAAAGGTGATTGCTAAAGAAGCTGGCTGTTCGCAGAGCTCTGTGTCCAAGCACATTAACAGACAGGCGAAGGGACGGAAAAAATGTGGTAGAAAAAAGTGTACAAGCTCTAGGGATAACCGCACCCTGCAGAGAATTGTGACGACAAACCCATTCAAAAATGTGGGGGAGATCCACAAAGAGTGGACTGCAGCTGGAGTCAGCGCTTCAAGAACCACCACGAGGAGACTCATGAAAGACATGGGATTCAGGTGTCGCATTCCGTGTGTCAAGCCACTCTTGAACAAGAAACAGCGCAAGAAGCGTCTCGCCTGGGCCAAGGACAAAAAGGACTGGACTGATGCTGAGTGGTCCAAAGTTATGTTTTCTGATGAAAGCAAGTTCTGCATTTCCTTTGGAAATCAAGGACCCAGAGTCTGGAGGAAGAGCGGAGAAGCACAGAATCCACGTTGCATGAGGTCCAGTGTAAAGTTTCCACCGTCAGTGATGGTGTGGGGTGCCATGTCATCTGCCGGTGTTGGCCCACTCTGTTTCCTGAGGTCCAGGGTCAATGCAGCCGTCTACCAGGAAGTTTTAGAGCACTTCATGCTTCCTGCTGCTGACCAACTTTATGGGGATGCAGACTTCACCTTTCAACAGGACTTGGCACCTGCACACAGTGCCAAAACCACCAGCACCTGGTTCAAGGACCATGGTATCCCTGTCCTTGATTGGCCAGCAAACTCGCCTGACCTTAACCCCATAGAAAATCTATGGGGTATTGTGAAGCGGAGGATGCAATACGCTAGACCCAACAATGCAGAGGAGCTGAAGACGACTATCAGAGCAACCTGGGCTCTCATAACACCTGAGCAGTGCCACAGACTGATCGATTCCATGCCACGCCGCATTACTGCAGTTATTGAGGCAAAAGGAGCCCCGACTAAGTATTGAGTGCTATACATGCACATTCTTTTCATGTTCATTCTTTTCAGTTGGCCAACATTAGAGAAACAAACATTTTTTCATTGGCCTTTAGAATATTCTAATTTTCTGAGATACCAGATTTGATGTTTTCATTGGTTGTCACCTATAAATATCAAATTTAAATGTAATAAACATCGGAAATACATTGGTCTGTGTGCATTGCATGAATATAATGTACAAGTTTCACGTTTTGAATGGAATTACTGAAATATTTTCAACCTTTTGATGATATTCTAATTTACTGGCCAGCACCTGTATACGTTCTAAACATTCTCACACCGTCCGGCGACCCTCTCCAAGATGACATCCATCTTGCGCACTAACACAGGCAACGCCGCGAGGACATTGTCCAGCTTACATCCAAGGGCTGCATGTGTCTCCACTCCTTAGGTCCTCCAACCCTGTTATATTTAACAGTGTTTATGATCTGAAATAGTTTATTCTGAAAATAAAAAAAGCAACAATTGAATTTAGGGCGAATTTGTAAGCACTTCTAACGAAGGTACTGCACTTCATCTGAAACATCTCACCTTCTCCTGCTTTTAGGTGAGCAAGTGGACCAGGCTGTGTGAAATTGGTATCCCCTCTGCTGTCGAGGAACATCTCCTAAATCCCACAAACCAGGTGAACCGACTGCCTCCTTCCATCCTCACCCTGGAGCAGCGGCTGGCCGAACCAGTCAAAGTCCACAACGATGACAAAATACGGAGACAGAAACTACAGGAGCAGAGGCTGAGAGAAAACGAGGAGAAGCAGATTTGTGAAGCCTCTCTGGGGCCGTCGTCTCAGACCTCTGATGGTCTTGAGCTCAGGGCGGCCCTGGCCAAACTTTCTGTGGATTCAGCTCCAGCTGCGGCCACTAGAGGGAGCTCTGAGATCAGAAAAGTCAAGACCACAGCTTTGCCTCCACTAGAGCACGTGTTTGCTGAGGGACTCTACTTCACTCTGACTGATGTGGTGCTGCTGCCGTGCATTCATCAGTATCTGGTAAGAGCTTTTTCCACTCGATGACATAAAGTGTGATTTATACCCGAGTTCTGTTAGAACTAAAACCCCCATTGATCAGATTCTCATTCTCCTTACGTCTTAAGGAGTAATTGCTCAATTTGGATCCACAAATTCACATCAAATGTTCATTTCATTTCATTATGACCACATTCATCCTCATTCTTTTGATGTATCGACAAGCTCTTGTTATTGTGATAAACGACTCATACTCGTGTAGCACCTTTTAACCTTATCTAAGTTCCACAAAGTGTTTTATGATGTGCTCTCCTTTCATCTGTTTTCTCCTTTTCTCTCTCTCTCTCTCTCTCTCTCTCACACACACACACACACACACACACACACACAAACACACACACACACACACACACACACACACACACACACACACACACACACTGCTCTCTGTTATTGTACCATAGAAAAAGGAGAAGAACTCAATTGCCGTTATCCAAAGCTCTGTCTCCATACATAACCACAAACGCCAGCTCTTCATGTCCGTTTAAACATTCTGTCATCAGTGATGTAGAGCTACAGTAGCACATGTTTACTGGTGCTCTGATCTCTTCTTAATAATGGTTTGAAGTATTGTTTTCACACCTGTGGTCAGGGTGAGCAGTCACCTTTCAGATTCATTCAGGCAGAAGGTAAAGAGTCAAGGAGACTCCTTGCCATCAGTCTTTGCACACGCTGGCTCACGCCGGTGGTCTGCAGCCTCCTGGCAGGAACTGATAACAGTGATTGGGAGGCTTGCACCATTCAAATGTACTCGGCTGAAATCCATCCTCTCCTCAACACAGCTGTGAAGGGTTTTACGATGGCCGAAAAAATACGAACTTTGGGAAAATGCGGGAAACTGAAGTGATGAGTATTCATCAGATTATTTATGTTTATGTTTTGGCAGATTTTGTGAATGGGGCAGATTACACATAAGATTTTCTTCTATCTGCTCCTTTTCATTTAAGCATTGTAAGTTGTATTCATTCTTTTTATTATTTTTTAAAGTTACTATGTTTTGAAATGAAATAAAAGATGAAAAAACTATAAAAAAACAAAAGGGTTTGTAAGGCTTATAAGCCATAACATAATGACCACCTGTGCAATGTTAAACCCTCTTTAACCACTTGCAAACTGGTTCTGATTCATAGGTTTATGGACTCCAAGGTCTGTCATGCAATCAAGAGCAAAAGTAATTCAAATTAGATATGTACAACTTATCAAATTTGTATTTCAATTTTCTTGTTTTTGGCTCCAATTTACCACAAAAACAATACAACTGACCAAAGAGTGTTTTTTCTTTTGTCACTTTCCATTTGCAGGCATGTATTTTGTCTTGGATTGGCCACATGAAGTGCCCTTCTGAAGGTCTATCTCATCTTGTGGTGGTGTTTTAAAAATGTGGTAGAATGAGGGCAAAACACATAGGCAGAGTTTCAAAAGAAAAAAAAACACATTACTTTCAGTTACAAGTCTGTAATGACGGTTCTAATTATCCCTGTTTCAGTGCTTAAAGATATTGGCCAGAAGCAAAATTCCTTTGAATGGCACGTGTAAAGAAGTATTAAAACCTCGGATGAAAAAGGTTTTTGGTTTTTCACGGCTGGAATTTTAAGAAAATCTGATGTTTTTTACTGGCGCGGGAAAAACAGAAACTAACTTCCGGTCTAAGCCCTGGGCAGCTGGTGACGTTCCACAAGGAGATCTGCTGAAACAGCTGTAGTAAACAACACCTGACTCCGTTGTTTCTGCGTTAGCGTTATAGCAGAGAACAATGTGTCATCAGTCAGATGTAGCTTCTGAAGCCTCTGCTAGTCGGTCAAATTGTTTTTTTTGTTGTTTTTTTCTGGGATACGGTGACAACAAGAATGAATATTGGATTACTGGAGACGTTCAACTGAACTCCGTGCCCTGCAACTGGACATCAGAACTGGAGGTGCAGACATGCTTTATACCGTTTCACTAAGAAAACCCGCAGCCCGATTAGGACACCGGGGAGGATTCTGTTTGTCTTCAGAACCAAAATCGATACAGTTTGTTTAAAGAGCAAGTCACCCCCAAATAAACTTTTTTTTGCTCATAAACTAAATAAACGAGTGTCTAATTGTGCTGCAGACACGTGTAGTCAATAATTTGGCACTTCAGTGCATCTTAGTTAAAATTTAAATATTCTGCCTAAAACTGGCAGTGTTGTGCTGTTGTCAGGTAAAAACTACACTGTATTTTAATTTAAATCTGCCACCGCTATTGGCTAAGAGGTATGCTATGATGTAAACTGGTACATTATGATGTCACAATGTTGTTGTGAGCCTGTGTGTGTGTATTTGTTAGCAGCTCCGCCTTCTCGGTCTGCCAGGCAACAACATTTATTGGATTTTTCAAACATGAAGTGGGAGTGGAGTTAGACTCTGGTAGGGGTTGACTTGCTCTTTAAGTTTGTTAAATATTTCATGTCTGTGCTCCAGCGGTAACTTTCAGTTAAGTTCTCAGCTGATTAGCTCCATCATATTGTCCCTATATAATTCAGTGATCTACAGATGAGTAAAATAACGTGTTGCCAGCTTTACCGCTCTGTGTATTTATTGATATAAGATCGGAAAATATTTAACCGATTGCTTACAAGAATAAATCTTCCTGATGCTAACTCGCAAGCTTGGGTCGTTGTTTTCTAATCCAGGATGACATGGAGGTTCTACCGGTCCTATAGGAGGATCTATTGTTGAAAAATGGGGATCGTCTTTTAGATTATATCTCTGTGTGTGTGTGTGTGTGTGTGTGTGTGTGTGTGTGTGTGTGTGTGTGTGTGTGGTAGCTTTCACAAATTACTTGTTTATTCTTTTCCGGAGCTAACACGTTTAGTAATGCTGCAGCAGTCATGCTGACGGGGCTCGCCTGCTGGAGTCCAGAAGTACCGGTACGGTTCTAAATGGGTTTATAGATGAAATCCCACCGTCACGCCATGCCTACAAGATCCCAAGTTTTTATTTATTTTATTTTTTTTGCGTTGTTTCCCGAAGAAGCAGCGGGAACTACTATGTTGTCGCTTGTGATCACAGCCGGCGGACAGCAAGGAGGAGCAGCCAGGGCAAGGTGAAGTTGCAGCATAAGTTACTGAGTTTAAAATTAGAAAGGTAGCAGTGGATATAACGCATTTTGGTTTACATGTTTCAGTAGCATTAAGATAAACGAGTGTTGACGATCTTGACAGGGTTTCCTCCCCCCACCAGGCTAAGCATCACTTATTCATGTAAAATTTATTTATTTTTCCATGTCTGACTTTAACCGCATCTAATACTGGATTACGGCGTGAGCGCAACAGCGACATCTTAAGATTGATGTGTGAGCAGCCTGAGAGGTCGGGTGTTTTCATCTGAACCCTTAAAACCTCCAGCAGGCTACGCTGCACTATTGACGTGTTAGCGCGCGGCGCTAACAACTTAGCAACGTGACATGTCTCGGAGAAAGCGTAAAAACACGTTGGATGCTTCTTCTGAAGCGGGAAAATAACACTTCTTCTTAAGCAGAGCACGACGTCGCCTCGTTCACTGCCGAGCCGGACTGAGCTCGATAACATTGACCCAGCACAGCCACTGGGTCGTTGGAGCTGCCCCGTGACTGCCTGATGGAAAACCAGCGGGTTTCATCAGACTCGTAGTTTCTTGTTTTTGCTGGGGACCCCCTGTATTTTACCGCTCCCTCCTGCAGTCTTCCCCTATTAACATTTAAAATGATTCTGTAAATTCCGTGTATCAATAGAAATAATCTCTGCCTCTGCCAGCTGCAGTAAATGTAGTTTCCAAATAATAAATAAGAGGTGCATTCATCTGTGTATCTCCTTTGATCCGCATTAGTGATATTCTCAGCACCAGAACAGTGAAGCAGAGAAAGATTCCTGAGTTAGTAATTTTATTTACTAGGTGCATCTAACCTGTTCTATTTTTCTCTGAAATGAGATCATATCAGTGCTTCTATGGGTTGCCTCCACTCTGCACTGGAAAATTTTTACTTTATTTAGAGACTTGTCATAATTTCTCAAAAAAGCGCCTCGTGATTTTTATCTTGAGAGGCGCTATAGAAATGATATTTTCTTCTTCTTCTTCTACATTTCACACTACGAAATGGGTAAAAGTATGTATGATTTGAGCTGATATCGTATCGGATTGATACATGTATCGGTCACTACTGAAGGCTTCAATATCAGTATCGTATCGGAAGGGGAAAAGTTGTATTGGGACATCCCTAGCTGAATTTATACCTCAAAATGAAATGGTTGGTTTCAGTAAAACTCCGCCCATGTCCACTCCGACAAAATGTACCTACAACAGCGTTAGTCAGTTGCTGCATTGGCATTTGCAGTCAAGTGGGTGTCTATCTTCCATCTCAGCTTAACCATGTGCTGATTTGGGTTCATCTCCTGGTGATGTTGGCAGTGATTTATTTAGCCAGCTGAAGCAGATTTTATGTTTTTATACTTCAGTGTTCCTGAATGTTTTCTGCAAAAATACTTTGTGACTCAAAAGATCTTTGAATTTGGTCATTTCCAAGCAGCATTTTAGTTGGGATTGCGATAGATTAATTTCCATTATTGGGTTTTTGAGAGGTTGAGGACCAAGGAACTTTAAGGCCGAGAGGAAATTATCTTTGTCTGGCCCCAAAACAATTTCTAATCGGAATCTGGTGCCCTTGAGCCCGCAAGGCTCCAACGAAAACTCCCCCCACAGAAGATATGTGGAATGTGCCGTCGCTATGGCAGCTCAACTCTGTCTCCTATCCCAGCCTGGGCAGGACTGTGGGAAGGCCGCCGAATCGTTCCAACCCTCAGTGCTCCTCCCCCTGTTCAGACTGAGGTGACATGCACTGCTCGTAGTGACTGCAGGAACCGAAGTGTGGATAGTCCCAAACCCACCACCCCACCTAGTGGACACTTAAGTTGTGTGATGTCTGAAGTCTGTTATATATCTGTCTGAGGTGGGTTTTTTTTTTTTTTTTTTTTGCAGAGCAAAGCTGCCCTCCCAGGGGAGGGTAGCTCTGAAGTGCCTTTTTTCCCTCCACCTGAACCAATCCTCATGTAATCCCTCTGATCTCTATTAAGGTAGCGCGACTCAGAGTTGCGAATGACCACAGTCACCAATTCTTGTCATGTGTCTTGCCCATGTATGTCTGATCTCTGAATTGTGTGTACTGGACCTCTAATTTCCCTCCGGGATTAATAAAGTATCTTTGAATTGAATTGAATTGATTAACTCTGCTCACCTCACATGGACTCACACTGGCTAAATAAACAAAGTAAAGAAAAAACAGCATAGTCCTTATACTCTAAGCAGTTTACAAATAAAGGGTTTAAAACATAATACTGGTAAATGTAGTGTAGTAAAAGCTAAGGAAAAAGTTACTGCTCAGAATGGGATGTGAACCTGGATAAGCCCGGCTCCCTAACCACTGGACTACCAAGTCTGTGACGTGACACCAGTTGCCTAAGCCACATTTCCTGTGCTGGCCACAGGAGGCAGGTTTCAGACCAGAGACTAGCTTCAGGGAGAGGAGCTGGGCCTGATGACGAGACTAGTTCCATGAAGAATTTACAGGATTTTCAAAGTAAAACTCTAAATTTGCAGCTGAGCCAGGAAAATGCATGAATGCAGCCAAAAACGGGTTTGGATTTTTTTTAATGAGGAAATAACAACATCACATGGTAAAAGGCTCCAAAAAGTGGGTTTCCCTTGGCCCCTTTAGGACATTTGACGTGGTCGGTGGTTTGTGGGTAAGGTGTGTTTGAGCCATGGACCTGACTGATCTGCAGCCCCTGATGCTCTGCATGTTCTAAAACTTTGATAAAAATGGTACTACAGACGATCTGGGGTTTGAGCTACAGTAGTTTGTCTTTTACATCAGAAAATGCAAACAGAACTTCGGTCCCTTCGTTTCTGAGTCTGGCCTTTACGACTTATGAGAACATTCACCCAATTAAATGCTTCATATGATGAACATGTTCTGTTTTTAACCCAGATATATTCATATTATTTGTAACAAGTAACTGAACCAAAGCTGTTTTATGAATTTTGATCTCAGTTGCATCATTTAGACTTGTGTACACCTTAATTGCATAGCTTGCGACACACAAGATTGTTAAGCTTTGATGACACAAGTCTGACATTTGAGCCAGAACTGAAAATGACAGGCTGCTGAAAAAAAAACAAGACATATTTTTGTCTTCAATACTGCTCCTTGTTTAAAGGAATATGGATATAATACTGGCTTAGTTTGAAGAGCTCAAAGATCACAGTGAAATTGTTTATGATCACGTAGGTGTCCATCATTATTTGGATTGTTTTATGAAGATGAATTACATCTTATGTGGATTTCAACACTTAAGGCCAATATTAACAACTTTCTTTGTTTTCAAAACATTTAAAAACAGGTGCTGCTTTTTAAGACTAAACATCTAATTACAGTTTATCACATACAAAATAAAATGACAGATTTTTTTAAAAGGTTCACTCAGTCCAGGGCTGTGGTGTTACTGGTCTGATGCTGTCCCCACCTCCAGTCCTCCTCCCTGGCTGGTTCTAACTGTGGGAACGAACTGAAAGTTCTCACAATGAGGCTTTTAGCAGTCAGCTGTGCTCCAGTGGTTTCCAGTTTCACACTTAACTTAGCATGTCTCCTTTTAATGACCATCTCTGTCCACGACACATCCAGCCTCAGTGGCTCCTTCTCACAGGCCCTTTTCCTCTCTCTGGTCTTCAATGCACAGTCAAATGCTCTGACACGACTCCTCTGATCATTTCTCTGTTTGTGTCTTCATCCTTCACCAGCTACCAACTCCATTTTAGTGTATGTTTGTTTTTACCCCATTGGTCTCTGGTGTGTTCCTGTCCAGTGAGTGTGATGAATGACTTTTAGGGCGCCCTGTCCTCTTGCTTCGCTTGACATGACACGTCAGTCGATCCACATAATCGATATACTGTTTTTTTCTCTCTCCTTTCATTCCTCTTTTAATAGTGTTCCCTCCAATCTCACGCTGCCAGAACTCTGCATCAGCTGCCCCGTCTGCTGCGTTGGTACAGCCGCGTTCGGGAGGTACCTGGTGTCCTTAAGGCAGCCAAGGACTGTGGGATGATTCTAACCGTCCCCCAAGTCCCCACATCCAGCCTTCAGGAGACATCAGGACCGGACAGCCCAGTGAGTCTGTTGCAACAAGAGGAGGATGAGGAGACAACGCCACAACTTGCTTTCGTTGGTGGACCTCGACCAACAATGACTAAACTAAAAGTAAATAATTGCTTTCCTTTACTTATTCTTCTGACGGCACAGCTTCCCTGTTTGTTTCCTGTTAGAGTAAATCGGAAAACAACTAGCACACTTTAAGCTATACTATGCAACTGTTTCATATTTTTCAATCATTTTCTTCAGCCAGTATGTGCTAAAATGATGATGACCCTTTACAGGATTAGTGAAATGTCACTCAGACCCCTACCACCCCCTGCACTCAGAATACCGCATTTGCAACTTCATTGTGGCGGGCTGCCAATTGTTTGACTTACAAAACAGTTGAGTCGACATACCTGGCGCTGCAGTCTGCTTCCAGCACGTTTTAGATCATGAACACAGCTGATTTGTTTGATTTGGTGATGAACTGCTCCTGTAGACACTAAGGAAGGCTGGGGAGACGTTTCAGCTGTTAGATTAAGGTGTTAAAAAGACGAACGCACAGCGAGGAGATAAGTTTCATTTTTGGTTTGACCAAAGAGAATTAATAATGGACACTAGGGGCGCTAAAAGAAAGCTAAACTACCAAATTTGCCTTTAAGCAGTGTCCCTAAAGATTCACAACCGCTCTTTTTTGGGACCGTAACCTCATAAAATTCGGGTTTAAAGATGCCTTCCATCTGAAGATGGAAGTTGGAAATTCCAGTCAACCAAGAGACTTTTACATCTCAAGAGTTCCTGCGTGGAAAGCCTGAAATTCCTGACCAGACTCTGTCGGTACCTAAAATTAATATCTGCCAAAAATCAGTTGTGCACATGCAGTTTCTACTGGGCATGCACCAGATTAGACAGTAGAGAGGAAACTGCTGTGAGGTGGGCTGGTTTATTGGCAGATGTTTTGTCGTGCAAGAATAGGGAAGCCACAGTTGTGTTGATGAGGGCTGCATTCCACTCCCGCGGCAGCGCATGTTGCTTCTGTATAACTGCTAATGAGAATCTGAATGCAGCCCTCATTGTTAACACCTTTGCTTTCCATACAACTCTTATCACATTTGTCTCTTATGTGTCTCATACAATAAAAATAAACATAATTTATATGATCTGTCAGCTGAAACCCTGACGTGTCTGGGTCTGCTAGGGATGCACAGCTCAGAAACCAGGGACAGCACCAGCTCCGTTTACGTTCAGTATGTGTGTGACTCATTCTTGGCAGGTTTTCATGCATTGTGGTCACCACTGTTGGGTAATTCCTATATCACGTCCAAATTACCTCAAAAGAGTCAGAGCATACACAGAGGGATAAGATCTTTTTGGAAATTGTAATCATCAAACAACAAACAATAAACAAACTTTGCAAAGGGTGAAACATACACACCAGAGTCAGAGGCGGTTTGTTCTCACACAGAAATAAAGCTGCGGAGAGCTTTTATTAGGACCAAGTCAAAGATAACCACTCCTACATCAGAAGATAATAGGAAGTCTTCAAGGGGGTCTTCACAGCTGGATGCTACAGACAGACTAAAGAGTCACCAAGTCTAGCCTTGATGTGCCTGACAATTTGCATTCAGGCAGGAAGCATTTCTACAACACTTTAAAATGTAAAAACTCTGTTTGATTATGAAATTTTACCTGACAACCACAGTGGGCAGTGATTTAGAAGCTGTTTTTTCTCTATGTGAGTGGGTGTGCATGCCTATTAGCCACCACTGTAATGTGTCACTGTATGTTAAATGCTAAGTGGCCTGGATTTATGTAGCACTTTCTAGAGCCCTATAACCCCCTAGGAGCATTACAACATCTCAGTCATTCACACACTGGTGGGAGGAGCTACAATGTAGCAGCAGCTGCCTTGGGGTGCCACCGGATCCTCCAACCACCTCTAGCAGGCAAGGTGGGTGAGGTGTCTTGCCAAAGCCGAGCCAGTGTGGTAGGCTTGCAGAAGCTGTAATGGAGTGTGGCTAGATCGACCTGCAGAGCTAAATCTTTGCTATGGTTTGTCTATATGCTTTTAAAAATTCCCATTGGGTGGTCTCATCCTTCCAAGCTCAAGTCTACCAGAGGCCTGGGATCTTCAGGGTTCTGCGCAGTATCTTAGCTGTTCCTAGAACGGCACTTTTCTGAACTGAGATGTCTGATGTTTTCCTGGGATCTGCTTTAGTCACTACTCCACTCTCCACCCTAACCCTTGCCATTACTTGGTATTGCCCCATTAACCACAACGGCTGTCCTCTGTTGTTTGTCCACCAACACAATGTCTGGTTGGTTCGCCACCACCTGTTAGTCGGCACCTGGAAGTCCCACATGAGCTTGGGTCTCTTGTTCTCAACCACCTTAGGGCATGCTACTTGCCTTTGACCTTGGGGCTTCCAGTCCTAACTCCGCACAGATGTTTCTGTACATGATGCCAGCCACTTGGATGTGGCGTTCCATGTAAGTGTTCCCTGCCAGCATGTTACACCCTGCAGCTATAGGTGGATCGTCTCAGGGGCCTCTTTGCATAGCCCTACACCTCGGGTCTTGTCTGGTGTGGTAGATCTTGGCCTCTGTTGCTCTGGTGTTCAGGGCCTGTTCCTGTGCAGCCATGATGAGTGCTTCTGTGATGTCCTTCAGACCAACTCTTTCTAGCCATTGGTAGGATTTCTTGATATCAGCCTCTTCAGTTATCTGTCTGTGGTGCATCCAATGTAGGGATTTGTCCTCCCATGATGGTATTTCTAGCGCCGCCTCTTCATGTGTGTGTGTGTGTGTTTGAAGTGTTGTTAGAACGTTGTCGGGCTGTATGATGATAATTATTTTTTTGCTGTTTTGAGTGATTTTTCTTCATTATAATTCTACAAAAAAGCAATAAAAAACCTGACCTTTCTTAAAAATAGTCAGTGTGGTCCAAATACCAATGTCTCAGGCCTAGTCCACACGTAGCTGGGTTTGTAAAAAAATGGATTTCCGCCCCTCCAAAAACTTGCATCCACACCACCTCGTTTAAAAAAAAACTCTGTCCACACGTACCGGATAAATACGTTGTTAAGGACATGCCAGACCTGTAGGCGGCAGTACTTCCCCCGTTCTTAACCTCGTCCTTCGTCTGTGGTCCTCTGCAAGGAGCAGTAATTCCTCTTGCAAAAACAAACAAGCAAAAAGCGCTTGGACAATTGATAAAGCGAGCGCAGCTCTGAGGGCATCCATGCTGTCGGCTAGTGTAAACACAGGTCGCACACGTGATGTCAGCATGTTTTTGTCGCGGAAAGTGACGTTGCGGACCTTAAAACTCCGGTTTTGTCTGTCCACACGCAGACACCCAAAACGGAGAAAACGCAGATCTTCACTTTGGCCAGAGTTTTTAAAAAGATCCGTTTTTGTGTGAAAAAACTCCGTTTTCGTGTGGATGACAGGCCAAAACGTAGTAAATATCTACGTTTTGGCAGATCCCCGGCTACGTGTGGACAGGGCCTTATTGCCATGAGTTCTTGTTATAATGCAATCTTCATTATTCTCACTAAATCCTGTTGCAATAATGCACACTGTGCATAATGATTTCATTCCTGCACAAAAAGTTTTTTCCTAAAGTTGTTGAAGACTTTCTTGTCTTAACGTTAAACCACTTTACCCTCTTTACATCATCTACCTGCAGGATTATTGGGAAGAAGCAGTCATGTGCCTTCGTGGATTTTTTTTTTACTTTTACCCCCTCTTCCAAAAACTCAGCTAACCTTTTGGAGCAAGAGATAAGCGAGGCGAGCTTATCTCCTCAACCCTGACTAACCCCTCACCACTGAGCCTTTAGTCTCTTCTCCTGGTCGCCTTCACCCCCCTTCCCAGCAGAAATATCTCTGTGCTTTCCTGCTGCATGTCTGTAAGGATATGACACTAATAAGTGACAGGAAGTTGTGTGGAGCTGTAAGAGCTGGGTGGTCAGGATAGGATGGGTCTCACATATATTATCATGTTGGTGGATGAAATTTCAGCCCGGCCCAGATGTGCACAAATGACAGTTTTCATGCTGAGTGGAAATCAGACATTAACACTGAAAGGAATGCATGCACACACAATGGCCACCATTCTCCCTCTCTCTGCTTAGAGGGATTATAAGGAGGGCTACATGTCGCCACTATTATGTCTGCAGTGCAGCTGTTGTATTAGCCCACATCTAGGTTTGCACCATCCCCTGCTATGTGTGAGAGAACGAGTTTAGTTTGACATGTTAGCCATCGATCCTCCACTGTTGCCGACCAGAGGCACCGGGCCCGCCGTCCTGTTATCTACTGTATAAATGGCTCAAACTTTCTGGCTTTCTCATTTTCTCACTTGAGTTAACACATGACAATGCATGTCAGTCAAACCGCCGGCGCAATGAGCCGTGCAGTCACGAGCTCTGATCCAAATGCAAACCATGATGGCCCCGGCACCAGAATGGAGATCATTCACCATAAGACCATTAAAGATCCAACAGCAGGCTGCAGTCTTAAAAGGCAAAACAATGTCAGGAAATATCCTGAAAGGGGGTTACTTCATAAATGGGATCAGTTGAATAGAAAGTGAATGAAATGTGTGATTTATATTCTTCCTGTAATTGGTCTCAAAGGGAAAACGTTCAGAAAGCGGGGATTAAAGGCACAGTGTGTGTGTGTGTGTGTGTGTGTGTGTGTGTGTGTGTGTGGGTTCTTGCAAAGACTCGCTGTTTCAAAACCGTAATGTTTATGGTACGAACACACACACACACACACACACACACACACACACACACACACACACACACACACACACACACACACACACACACACACACACACACACACACACACACACACACACACACACACTGTGCTACTTCTCATGTTGACCAAAGGCTGGGTTAAGAGACCTGGGCTCATCCCTACTGATATGTGAAGCCTGAGTGTCGAGGGTTTTTAGTCTAACCAGTAAGGGACCTAAATACGATACAGAGGCTTTGTGAGTCTGACGATCCCAAACTCAATGAATATCAACGGTAATTGACAGGAATTATTCTGCTTTCTAAGCTTTTGAGGCTCCACCTTTATCTCCACCTGGAGCTGAATTTACTTGCA